CTTTTCATCTCTTTCTCCCTTCTTTCAATATCTCACTCTTTTTTCTATCTCTCTCTCTCCCTCTCTCTATCTATCTCTATCTATCAGTGCATTTATCTATCTATATATTTTGCTTCCACTCTCACTACTCATCTGTCAATCAGAGAAAGACTCTTTATCTATGTATCTTTTTTCTTTCATTTACTCTCTCTCTCTCTCTCTCTCGTTTTTTCACAAACTCATTCAATCACTCTCTGTCTCTTAACACTCCCTTCCTTCTTTAATCAATATCTTTACGTCTCACCCTAACTCACCTTATGTATCTCTCGCCTCACTTCTCCTTATGCATCTATCTATGTTTTTATATTTTTCTTTGTTGTGATTCTTGAAATAATTATTTTATTTGGGTTAGGCAATAATCTAAACTTGTCAAATACAAATTATTACTAACAGGAAACAGGATGATACTTTCATAAAAAGGATTTTAAGGCAAACCTAAACTAGCACTACTAAACCGTGATTTTTTTGCAATTTTAGCGTTTTATAATATTCCCTGTTAAAATTATAGATTGAAAAGTTAATTTTATATATTTTACATTGATGTTTTCATTTTATAATTTGTTTGTAACAAAATCGCTATATTTTAAACAGTACATTATCCATCCAAAACTGAACAATTTTAAGATATTTAATTAGCGTTCGTTCCTACTGCCTAAATTCCTTAAAAATTGAGTATTTCTTTAAATTAGACCAATTTAGTTAATTAATGCTCACTCAATAATGCCCACAGTTTTATATTTGGGAGGTATAGCTTTAGAAATGTTGGTATTTTACTCGTACAAATTTCTTAGATAAACCCATTGAATTATAAACTCGGGGAATATATTATGATATAGTTTAAATCATACATTCGGACATCCGTGATTTTTGGATTCTTATGGCAAACTAGTGAAACTGCATAAGAAATCAATTTTGTCGGTTGGTCCAGGAAAAGTGAAGATTTGTCGTCAACCTTGATAAAGGTGATTGGAATTGCGACAGATCGAAGAAGAGCATGGAAAAATCAAAGGTTGTGGTTCAAACGAGTCATCCGAGAAAATGGTGCAACTATGAATGAACTTGGACAGACCCACGACTCACTGGCTGCCCTCTTCGTCCCGTCCTTGGACATTACCAATTCTCAACTGAGTTTGGCAATATTTTGGAAAGTCAACCGGCGACTCGGCGGAGAGTAGAAGCGGGATAATAATTCGTCCATTTTGCACAACCTTCACAACACAAACAGGACTTGAAGGGGTTGTTAGACTTTGGTGACGGTTTCGACACTCTGTGCTGTTGTATCTTTTAAACCCCGTCAACTGTTGACTCCTGGCAATATTTATACAAAACACGTATAAATTTGTGGGGAAAAAATCGATTTGATGCCTGCTAGGCCATGAATCAACAGTTCAATTTGATCGTCTTTTAGCCAGCTTCAGTGGTTATCTGTTATTCAGGCCGAGTCCCTTTTATAAGCTTTTAAATAAAAGAACGAACCTGCTTAAAAGGGACTCAACCGACCAAATAACACACAGACAAAGAAGAGAGACTTACGACTAGACGCAAAGTTTAGTTTTTGTAAGTACCAACATGTAATGTCAATAGCTTATTCATATAAATTTTAGATAAAATTTTGTAGTTTCAACATTTTCTTATTATTTTTTATGTTTGCCCTTGTAAATTAATTATTGTATAGTTGTTCAAGTCAAAGTCAACACATAGGTCAACATAAATTTTCATGATTTCTGGGCCCTCCTGGTTATCATTAATAAAACATTACACATAAAAACGTAATTACGAGCTTAATAAAAGAAAAATTGCATTTACAGGCATATCTTAGTGATTTTTTCCTAAATCTAATGCTAAATTGTCCTTTTCCCCCTTCCATAGTATGCTTTTCAAAAAATGAAATCCCCATTTTATTATAAATAATCTATGACTTCTGAGGTTACTTAATAAACCCAGTCTAATTAATATAATTTTGACTTAAAATAAATTAATACTCTTGGAAAATAACAGAGCCTTAAATGACATATAAAACAGACCTTATCGATTTATTTGTTAATACTGATTTATTAGAACAAATAAATAGATACTATTTGTCGATACATGCCCATCCAGTTTTTAGACACTTACAGAAGAGCCAAAATGGTTAAAACTCTCAGACAAATCATTGACCACAGAATAAAAACAGCAAAAAATAGCCCCATTTCGGTGGTTGTTGGTAAAAACTTGTTATATTTACCGTTGTTAGTTACTCCTGATTCGTCTTGTCACGCTGTTTGTTTCCTTTCATCTGCGTTTCGGCTTCATAATTGGCTAGAACCTTGAAAAACAAAAAAGGTGACCAAAACCAAGTGTCTTTTGGACAAAAACATACGTGCTTCTCTAACGTGTAGGAAAAATATCGTAACAGAAATATTTTTAACATTCCTTGATTATTTAAAACAATTATTTTCCAAAATGATCGGGTACAATGGCGATGCCTTTGTCCTTTTTTCTTCTCTTTCTTGGAATTGAAGTGCATTTCCCTTTTAAGACGATTCAAGAAAGCTGCTAAACGATTTTGTTTGATTGAATAATCGGGATTCCCTTCTTTTCACTGCTTATGAAAGACGATTTCTATTTGCATAATGATCACATAACACTAATGACCTCTCAGCGTGTGGTCGTTAGTTCTAGCTAGTTTTTACTTTCGAATTTGTCATGATCGAGACAAGTAAACCAAAAATTGATTTGAGCCATTTTTCATATGGTTACTGTAACTTGAACTAAGTTTTTCGAACTTCGGTTGAACTCGAGTTGTAACTTTTTCTTACACTATTTTCCACTCTTATTCCATTATCACAGCTTGTTAGAAGAATTTGTATTAGAGATCTCACCTTTAAGCTACATTTACAAGAAATCAAAAATCGCTCTTTTAAAATGCTTGGCTTCATCATCCAAAATGTCCATCTATATAAATCACTTCATCCTGTTCTTGAATATGCCTCAATCATCAGGAATCCGCACTGCTACGCTGATATAAAACTTTTTCAAATTGTTCAAAATTAATTTCTTCATACATTATATTTCAAATTAAACTGTCACAATGATAAATCCTCTCATGCTCCCATTAAATCTTACTTCTTATTAGCAGAAGAAAGTATTTTGAGATTATTTTTATTTTCAAATTAATTAATAATTGCATAGATTCCCCAGAAATCCTTGGCAAACTCGAATTTTATGTACCTCCTTGCCACCTCAGATATCAGAAAATATTTTTTATTGGATATAAAGGAACAAATTTTTCCCTACACTCCCCATGATGCATCACACGATGATGGAATGTAACAACTTATGCAATACTTATTTGAAGATCATGAGATGCGGTCTGGTGTAACGTAGGGTTTAGAAAAACATTTTCTTTATCGTGCCAACGTTTCGCTCTTTATTGAGATCATCTTCAGGGCTCAAAGTGTTTGCTTTCTGTGTAGATGTGTCATTCTTGTGTGTCGTGTTGAGGGTGCGACACCCAATAGCTATGCAAGTAAATTAACAAATAATTTAAATAGCAGGCAATTCAGTAATTAGTGTGTGTGGTGATTAGTTAATTGATAATTAATCAGAAATCGTGAGATGCGGTTTGGTGTGAAGTAGGTTTCAGAAAAACATTTTCTTTATCTTGCCAACGCTTTGAGACCCTGAAGATGATCTCAATAAAGATCGAAACGTTGGCACGATAAAGAAAATGTTTTTCTGAAACCTACATCACACCAGACCGCATCTCACTATTTCTGAATAATTCTCAATAATTAGTCTTAAATTTAGTTAATTATCACTGGAATTCCAATATCACAGTTGAATTCCAATAAAACACAAGCGGTCCTATCAATAATTATTTTAAGGCGTCAATCTTCTTTCAGACAAATGGATTCCACAAATATCAGAAAATCTTACTGTAACTTGTGGATCAGTATTTTCACGCTTTTTGGCCATTTTTCTCCATAATGAACAATTTTTTGGATCTGAGATAAGAGTTGCACACTTGCTTTCAAACATTTCACATCTATAAATGAGGTGTTTCAATGTTTGCTGTTCAGGATTGTTAATTATTCTGAATCTTTTGAGATGTGCTTTAGTTCTCTGCGTTCAGTTAGAGCCATTGTTAGTCCGACTCTATGCCTAATTCTTACTTGCATTCTGGAGGAAATTGTTGGAAAAAACTTTTTGTTGCTGAGCCTTTTTTTATATTCGTACATTCAAGTTCCCATTGGGCCATTGTCCTCTTCCTTATCTCTTTTTTTACATAGAAAATTGGCACTTGGTCTAATGAAGCTACCAATTTTTCGTTAAGGGCTGCTTTTTGGTATATTTACTAGCTTGATCTCATGGATACCATTATGTGCTTTTACCCAACCCATCTTGATCTTTGTATTTAAGTTCTTTTCCAAATTCCGTAATATTTTTCTAAACATTTCTGCTTCCCTGTTGTGAATTTTGTGATTGGCTGTTACCTTAAGGCTAAAGTCACTGATCTTTCTGTTTGTTTCCGAGCCTCTCTTTTTTTACTTCTATTTCAATCCATTGTAATGCCGCCAGGATTGGAAATAATTCGGCCCAATTATTGCTACACCAGGGGGGGGAGTTTGTGCATGCTGTATATTTCCGAACCTCCGTTGTGCAACAAATGCACAACCCACTTTTTCTTCGCCAATTTTACCATCCGTAAACACTAGAATAAAATTATCTCCCTCTGAGTTGTAATCCACATTTAGTTTCTGATGGATGTGACCATTTTCCAACTGTTAGTGGCCTTTTCAATTTCATATGCTGGGAATGTGTCTTCATTGTTTGGCTTATGCTTACATTGTACAAGAAAACGTAAATTTTTTTAATGAAAATTTTGTGATATATTATTATGGAAAAGTTATGTAAATAATAAACATTGATAGATTTTTTATTAGGAAAAATAATTTAATAGTTATTTCTTATTTTTGTAGTTATTTGTGGCACTGGTGATTCACACAAACTCTATATCTATTGGTATGTCACAAGGCTTCTCAGCCGTTCTAATACCACAGTTGGAAAACAGCTCGATAAAAATAGATAGTGAAGACGCATCATGGATTGGTAAGATTGGAAAAAAAATTTTTTTCTTAAAAGATACCAACTTTTGGAAAACTTTTACAGCCAGTTTGGGAGTGATATCGACACCCGGAGGTGCCTTGATCTCAGGACTTCTTGCAGAAGCCGTCGGAAGGAAAACGACTCTTCAAATCACAGCATTCCCGTTTCTTTGCGGTTGGATCCTAATGGCACTTGCACAGAACAAAATATGGTTATGCATCGGAAGATTCATCACTGGATTTGCTATTGGTAAATAAATCATGAATGATTGAATTCAATGTAAATTATTTTTAAATGATTTTTGCTGCAAGGACAGTTATTGTTATAAAAAATTAGTAATAAGAATTTATGTGCACTTAATCTATTGGGTTGTCCGGAAAATAATGCAGGATTTTGGTATTAAACAAAAAAAAAGAAACTAGTTACTTTAAAGCAATGTTCTTTAATCAAAATAANGACATTCATACAAATGAGTAATCCTGTAAACGTAAACAGAATATTTTATATAGATTTTTTTTAATGAAAACTTAAAATCCTGCATTATTTTCCGGACAACCCGATAAACATAAAAACTGGATTTGTAATTGGAGAATTTTACAACTGATATCAAGCCAGTAAAAAATAAATAAATACAAGTAAAAAAATAATATCCTGCTTAAGGAGGGTTTAACATCCAACTATCCATTAGGTAGCGCAGACTAGGTTTCAAACCACTTTACAGTAAATTTTTATACTATGATCAATTAAAAAGCCACAGCTCTGCCGGGATTCGAACCTTGAACCACTAGCATGGCAAATAAGCAAATATGAGTCGGGCACTTAACCAGCTCGGTCACTGCGGTCCCCTTGAGGTCGAAAGTGTTCGATTGTACCAGTGAGAAACTAAAGCAAATAAAAACAAGCTAAAATTCAAAAACTAAAACGATAAAATACCACTTTTTGTACCACTAAAGTACATTATTCCTACTTGAATGAACTATAAGTTAATTTTATGATTGATATGATTTTACTATTCTACTTATTAACTAAAACTTTTAAAGTGTGTTCTTATTAAATAATTCATTAAATAGCAATCACAACTGATAAATCCTCATAAATTATTATTTTAATTACTAATTACTTCCGGATCTTACAATTTGTAAACAAAAATTATTGGAAAATGGATTTAATATGTTCTAAATTATAATAATATACAGCAGCACAAGCAGCAATGACAGTCAATGAACTGTTTTTTTCTAAAATAAAATAAAAATTAAATTGTCAATTGCACTGAATTAAGGAACTAGGAAAATTAACTGCTAATAAATAATAGTTTAGTTATAACAATTTAATATTTATTTTTTTTAGGGATGGCGGCAACTAGTTATGTGTACTTAGCTGAGATCAGCTTACCATCTGAAAGAGGAATGCTTGCTTCACTTGGGCCAGTTTTTGTCTCGTTTGGCGTTTTATTGGTCTACTGCTTTGGATATTTTATGGATTGGCACCTCGCTTGCATTGTGTGTGCTGCGACTGCTGCGTTCAGTTTTGTCGTCATTCACTTCTTGCCGGAGACACCACCATACCTTGTATCAAAAGGAAAATACGAGGAAGCGCAAAACACACTTTTTTCGCTAAGAGCATCTAGAGACGTGGCTGAAAAAGAAATGAACCAAGTGTTACTATCCATTCACAAAAAGAAGACGCTCTCACTTACGGAATATCTTTCTCAGCTTAAAGAGCCAGGCGTGTGGAAACCATTCCTCATCCTCGTTTTCTTTTTTATTTGCCAGGAAGGCTCAGGGATGTACATATTGGTCTACTACATGACCAACATTTTCCAAGATATTGGGTCTGTATTTGACAGCTCGGTTGAATCGATAATTGTAGGAGGTGTGCGGCTTTTTACGAGTGCTGTTGGATCAATCTGTATCCAAAATTTTGGCCGTAGACCGCTTGCAATGTTCTCTGGATTGGGAATGGGTATTTCAATGGGTTGTGCTGCCATTTATGAATATAAATTTGGCCATTTGTTCATCGAAGACAGGCCTTGCCCGTACATACCTTTGATATGTTTTATTCTGAACGTGGTTGCTAGCATGTTGGGAATGCTCCAACTGCCATGGCTTATGATCGGTGAACTTTTTCCTTTATCAGTACGAGGAGCGATGAGCGGAGTCGTATCATCATTAGCTTATTTATTTATATTTGCACTTATCAAAGTTTATCCAAATTTAATGTCGTTGGAATTGTTTGGCATGATGGGGTTGTTCAGCATAATATCACTTATGGCTGTTGTATTTGTATATTTTTTCTTACCTGAGACCCAAGGGAAACTTCTAATCGATATTGAAAATTCATTTAAAAAGGCAAAAACAGAGCAAATATCAGATCCAATTTACATCCTTAAAATACCATGAGCGTTCATCATTTAAAAAAAAAAATGCTACTAAAACAAGTTCCTTATTTAATTATTTATTTTTCTCATTTAGGGAAAATTAAGTTTGAGTGTTTAAAGTTTTATTTTTCAGGAAATTAACATTTATGTTATTTCAGGCTGTGATGTAGAATTAATTTTTTTTCTTTTGTATAAAGCAAGTGTTTTAAGAATAGTAGTTTATACTCTAATAAGAACCGTCCAAAGAAATGAATTTAAGATATGTAAATTTAGTTTTATAAATAACAATCTTTGGTTTTAATTTGTCATCTTATTTTTGTCCTAATTCATTTTATAACATATAGTACTTTGAAAACAATTTTTAAACAATAATGTTTGTTGGCAAACATTTGGTAATATTCAAATAAATTCTTTATAATTTTTTTATTTTTTATTTTCCAAACCTGAGGTAATACCATGCCAATCACATGCTGCATGTGAAACTAGATGAAAGTAAGTTGAAAAAGACATATTACAAAAATTTTAGTGAACCATGAATCCTATCTATATGCATACACTTGAAGGCTATAAAGACTTACAAGGTAAATGAAAAAATTTGTAAATAAAGTAAATTATATTTTACATACATTTTTACATGAACATTAAATAACAAATATATTTATCAATCATCGTTCTGCTATAGATTCTAAATGTCTAGTGGCCGCCTTCAAAGTAGCGACTAAACTTTTCAACTGGTTCACAGTGCATACAAAATTAATTTTTTCAGTCTCAACGTTAAAATTTTGAATCGAGTTATTTTTCCCGACTATCAGCTGGATGAAGTAAAGCAATTTCCCGTCAAAGTCGGAAAATGAAGTCTAAAAAAAACATTAATGTGGTTTTTTTTTTTGCTTTTTTTAAATAAATATAATCAACTACCTTCACACAAAAATGCATTTTCCAAGTTACATCAAATATGTGCGGAGGATTTGAGTTAAAACTCTTCAATGAAAGCCTGAGAGGAAGCTTCTGCTTAGTGTACACGTCTAGGATCTTTTCGACTCTGTCGTCTGGTACATTTTGATTACCAAGGATGCACTTGAGCGTCAGAGGATCTTCATTCCGTCGCATTCCTTCAATCAGGAATGTCAATAGCGATGCATATATCACTTTGAGGACATCTATCTCCGGTGTATCAGGAGGGATATCTGAAAATAATTCTTTTTAGTTCTGTTATACTGTTATAATGACCACATCAAGCATTGCAGACAATTCTTGAAAGGCAAAAATTTATAATTTGTGGTTAAAAAAAATTCTATTTGGATTTTTTTTACGTTAATTATTTTAACATTTCAGGAATTTACACCCATCAGAATCATACTTTTTTAATTATTTTTCGTTATATATAGTTTCTTTTAAAAGATATATGACCATTTTGTATTAATAAGCTGCATGGCCAAGATGGAAGAAGGCTACATATTAGAAAAAAAATACAAATTTCAAAGCTTAACAATACAAGATAATACATATAAAATGAATACAACAATGCTAAATAGACCATTATGAATAAATTCTTTATTCTAAAGAACATAATAGAGAAATGGTGGTTTTATCAATTTGTTTTAATCCCCGAACTGACCAATAAGAACATCAGAATGGAAAAGGGAAAAGTAATTTTTTGAAGACAAAGAGAACAACCCAAGAAGAGATTTTTAAATATAAACTTAGACTATAGATTTAACTTTTATGAATAACATGTAAAATAACGAATGAATCATGTAAGAAGCAAATTATAAAATTGACTTATATATTCACAAATGAAAAGCATGAGTAAAGAAAAAAGACAAAATGAAGATATTCTGGATTGATTGAGTTTCAAGCTTAAAAGAAGATAAGCCTTTTGAAAGTTACAAAAGAAAAAGAAAGAAAGAAGTAATAAATTTCCTGAAATAAAATGGATCCTTAATGAGTCCAAAACCTGGTGGAACAATACCACATGCATGAGGTACGTGAAGAGATTCACAGGACCATCCGCAAAACTTACAAATTACTGGAAGGCAACCGCAACCGAACCAGGATTCTGGTTGGACTCCTGAGAACACTGCCACTTAACAAAACACATGCGCCGGTACAGACAGAAGAAACACTGCGCAGATACTGCCAGGAAGTTGAGGAGAATGCAGAACACATTTTATGTTTTTGTGAATGTCTATGTAGGAGCAGATTCTTGCAACTGGGACAGGAAAGTCCATAAGCAAGATCCTACACTAAGAAGCCGCTGGTAAGGCTATGGAGGCTTATTAACAACCTGAAGCTGGCCTGTGAGTTATAAAAAACAGAGGAGCATTACAGATCTACTCAGGTAGAAGTGCAGAAGGCCTAGTAGCTGCCTCTTTTATCCCTATCCCTATCCTGAAATAAAGGTGGTTCAAATCATCCTAATCATCATCATAATCCAGGATGGCAAACCTCCATATAAGAGTTTTTGCCTGGGATGTGGGATATACCCAATAAAACAATATTTCAATTATTCTAAAAAATATAAGAGGAATATGATTAATTTTCTTGTAAAGTTGTGAAACAGGACCATTAAAGAATGTTATTTATGTTGGGAGATTTGTTTACAAAGAGAACATGACTATATTCTGTTGGTTGAGTACATTATGGACCAACCACTAAAGATGGCAAATATAGGGGTAATGTCAGAAGAAAGAGCTGGCCAATTCATTGTGGTAATCCCTACATCCTCCAAGTAATGAGTGACAATTCGAGCTACATGTCGTCAAGCACTATCGTTTATTAATATGAAGTTGTCCCCAATAAATGACATGAATGGGACACAGCTTCCAGAAGAACTTCTTAAATGTACCTTAGTGTAGTCAAAGAACCATTGATATATGATAATCGGTTCGGTACGGGCATGGTTGGGTCCACCCCATACCTTAACTGACTGTATTTAAAAATGCATATGAAGCAAAGCGTTCTCCACTACACTGTACCGGTTATGATTGCTACAAATCAAACCACCACTAATCTGTGAAGAGAACAGTCCCCAATTGTACAAGTTCCAAGATGCTGATTTACGAACGTCTTTCTACTCAATGGCTAGAGAAGAGAACCTGATGCGTCCAGAACATCACAACCTAATACCATAACTGGCTGTCTTTGAAAAGCCTGTGACTCACACAGGGCATATGAAGCAAAGCATCCTCCACACACAGTCCTGCTATGATTGCCACAAACCAAACCAGCATTCTGTGAATCAAAAAGCCCCCCTCCATTCTTCAAGTGTCCAAGAAGACTTGCGAAGTAGCCTTTCTACTCGATGCCTCTCCTGTAGTAAAGAACCTGATGCAGTACATAGCATCAGAGCTTCAAAAAAACCACAATTGTCTTTGAAAAAGCGTGTGATTCACATAGGGCATATGAAACAAAGCATTCTCCACACAGTCCTGCTGATATGATTGCCACAAATCAAACCAGCAACCTGTGAATTGAAAAGCTCTCCATTGTTCAAGTGTCCAAGCGAGATGCTGATTTGCGAATAGTCACCTTTCTACTCGATGCCTCCCCACCAGACAACTTGATGCGTGTCATCAAGACATGTTTTAAGACGTGTGTTTAATGTCTTAAGACGTGGGGCATGATGGCTAATTTCATGCAGCCTTCTAATGGCTATTTTGACTGAACTGTCTACCTATCAACAAAGCCATTAAATGACGGTTCTTAGTGCGATAAGAAGATTAAAACGACCATCTCTAGCCATCAAACATCACACTCGACCACTACATTCTCTTCGATCGAGTCTTCCAGTGAGCCTAAACTGTTGTGAACCAACATGGATGGTAAACGCAACACACCTGTGACACTACTTCTGTCGGACAAAGCAACTGCCTGAGCGAGATCTCAACTTAACACCCTGCTTTTAAGAGAAAAAAAATTTTTTACTCGCATTTATTGTCTTAAAACGACAAATATTCACATTTGAGAATTCTGATGATAGTCGACTTCCAATCCCACTTCCTTAAAATGAATATATTTTAAATTTATTTTAAAAAAAATAAAGAAAGTAATTGTTGTTTGTATGTTTCTGGTAGGTTCTGGGTGTTTTTGATTTCCCATACAAACTGATAAGATCTTTAAATCGCCGATAGCTCTTGTTTATGTCAAATTGATAACTTATCACCCGGAGTGTACGTTTAATTTTTAGGTTTTTCTTGTAATAAAATGAATGAATTATTAATAAAATGAGAAGAAAGTAATTTACCGACTGAGTGGTTCGGATTGAGAGGAAATTCCAGGTAAGTGGAAATTTCTTTTAGCAAATTTTCCAGGCGTTGTTCGTCCAACAAACTTGTCTCGCCGATCTGTTTGAGCCCGTCGAGTATTTCCTGGGAAATTCTCATGGCGAGACCGTTCGCCTGGAAATAACAATAATAATAATAATAATAAAAGGAGGGAAAAAAGGGGGTAAAAGTTCTTGCAAGTTGGAAATGTCAAAGAAACAGTAAATAACAGGGACGGTGTCGGAGTGACGGCGCTCGGCCGAGTTGGGCGAAATCGGAACTCTCGAATAAAAAGGTTATCGAGTCCGTAGAACCGAGGGAGAAGTGGAGGCGCTGTCTAATTGAAATACGCTTCAAAAACGCGTTTTTTACTTTTTTTGTTTTGTTTTGTTTAGTTTTTTGGTTTTTCCTTTTTTCGTTTCCTCGGCCGCGCCGTTTTCCGACCAGGCCTGGATCCTCCCGAAATCGGGATTTGACGAAATGTGAGAGTTTCGAACCGAGGCCCCTTTTTAAAACCAGTGGCTTTTATTTTGAAAAATCGGATGTGGGACAAACTCTGAGGTCAGTGTTTTGTTGGATTAACCTAATTTTTAGGACGGATTAAAACGTTTTTTTATCGGATTTTACGACTTAACTCTGCCCACCGTCGGAAGACGGCTTTTATTTATAAATAGATCTTTATTAAAATTTTCTACTCCCGAAATTTCCTCGATCCACGCTGAATGATACCACCCCTCGCTGGGACAACCTGTGAAGGAGAAAGTCCTATATTCAACTTTTATTTGTATTTATTTACGCTGGTTTCTACCTTAACAACTAATTTAAACTTTTTTTAAATAAAATAATCCCGATATTTTCTGTTTATTAGCCAATAACGCGTTATATGCGCATTTCATAACACCGAGGCAAAAACCTTCAAAGAGTTCCTAGAAATCAAATACCGATTTTCTGCAATTTTCCTCGATTTAACAACCCTTAAACAGCAAATAGAACGTTTAACATCAATTATTGAACAGTAAACAGTACATAGTCTTAACATTCCTACACCCATAATACTACCCAAACATTATAAAACCATAGTAAAAAAAAAGTCAACTGATAGTTCGTTTTATTATCCAGTATAAATTAAAGGAAACCTATAAGGAAAACGGGAAAGTTTCTATTTATATCATCATGCTATTTAGTAAATAATCAATTCTGCATTTGACAAATTTGAGCAAAGACTACATTGCTCAAAAATGCTTCATTCTTGTAACATTGTTGTAACATTCTATTATTTCATCATTTACTTAAGTATATTATGTGATATTTTATTATTATCAAATATATTTTTATTGTATATATTGGGATATATGCAGAATTTCACATCTATGATATGCTGTAAAGCCGTATGGATAAACTTATCTATGTGTAGGTCATTCATTTTGCTATCTAAGAGTAATAAGTAATAAAAGTTAAATCTATATTAGTAAAATATAGGTATTTTTTATTTGTTTATCATGCTTGTAAGTCAAATCAGCAATTTGGAAAGTACGGTGATCGTATAGGTCAAAAAGCTTCATTCTTGTAACATTACATTCTTTTATTTCATTTACTTAAGTATATTATGTGATATTTTATTATTATCAAATATATTTTTAAGGTATATATTGTGATACATGAAAAATTTCACGCCTACAGTATACTGTAAAGCAGTATGGATAAACTTATCTAAGTATAGGTCATTCATTTTGTTACCTAAGAGTAATAAGTAATAAAAGTTAAATCTATGTTAGCAAAACGTAGGAATTTTTGATTTGTTTGTCATGTTAATAACTCAATTGAATCGGCAATTTGGAAAGTACGGTGATCGTATAGGTCAAAAAGTTACATTCTTGTAACATTGTTACACTCTGTTATTTCATCACTTACTTAAGTATATGATGTGATATTTTATTATTATCAAATATATTTTTAAGGTATATATTGTGATACATGAAAAATTTCACACTTACAATATACTGTAAAGCAGTATGGATAAACTTATCTAAGTGTAGGTCATTCAGTTTGTTACCTAAGAGTAATAAGTAATAAAAGTTAAATCTATATTAGCAAAATATGGGTGTTTTTTTATTTGTTTATCATGCTAGTTAGTCAATTAAATTAGTAATTTGGAAAGTACAATGATCGTACAGCTCAAAGAAGCATCATTCTTGAAATATTGTTGTTACATTCTATTATCTCCTTATTTATTATAATTGAGTGCATTATGTTGTTATTTTATTACTATCAAACATATTTTTATAAGCATAAATATGAAATATTTCACATCTTCAGTATACTGTAAAGCATATGATGACTTTATCTAAGTATAGATCATTCATTTTAGTATCTAAGAGTAATAATAAAAGTTCAATCAATAATAAAAAGGGGATAGTTTTGATGCAAATGTCATGCTATTTAGTAAATAATCGATTCAGCATTTCGGAAAGTACAATGATCATACAGCTCAAAAATGCTTCAATCTTGTAATGTTTTTGTTTCCTTCTATTATTTTATAATTTATTATTAAATAATCGATTCAGCATTTTGGAAATTACAATGATAGTATAACTCATTCTTGTAATGTATGTAGTTATTTCCTTCTATTATTTCATAATTTATTTCAATATATTACGTGTTATTTTATTATTATCAAATATATTCTTACAAATATATGTTGTGATATTTCAAAAATTTCACATCTACAATGTACTGTAAAGCCGTATGATAAAGTGATCTGTGTTCTATGAATGTTGCCATTCATTATTATGTAATAGTAATAAGTAATAAAATTTCAATCAATATTAGCAAAAAACGCTAGTTTATTATTTCTTTGTCATTGACTATTGCGTTTCTATAGCATAGATCTCACTTTAGAAAATTGATGGTAGGGAGGGTCTAGAGATTTCACTAGGTCAAAATTTGGGCCTTTGACTCCTGTCTGCAATCCATGTACCATTTTGGATCGTAATACGGCCACTCTAATTAGTTTTAGTTTAGTGCAAGTATGCATTGCCCGTTTAAGATATGCCATCTTTGTAATTTTTTTAAATTGATTTTATGTATTCTTTTCCAAGATTTTTGGCCACCATATGTTGCCTCATATGTGACCGGAGGTCTTCATTGTAAACAGCTAATAGGCTATTTTTAATTTTTACACCATGTTTTACTTCAAAATCTTTCACCCACGTTTATCTTTTACTGCAAAAATTAAATCCAAAGTTATCCACAGTTGGATGTACACGATGTCTATTTTTCAAATTATATGCAGAATGATCCAATTTATCTAAGATTAATCGATATAGGGTATAGTTTAAATTGCATATTTATACTTATAAATTATTTACAACTTATTTATTTATTAAAATATACAAAATTAAGACCAAAGTTAAAGGAAATATCAATATAGTGTTATGTTGAGTGTCAGGGAGCATGGTAAAAAGGTCTGTCCCCTTGACACTCAATACCCAATGATAAGTTGGACGTTTAGCCCTCTTGTATATCATTCATTGCTTTACTGTATATTTATTTATATTTAAATCAATGATCTACTAAATCTAGAAACTAATAACAATAAAAAAAATAAAACATTATAGCCATTTTACAAGAACAAGTAAATTTATACGGTCTTAATACACTCATAGAGTGATTTCATTATTAAAATGCATGTATTTTGTATTTTTTTAAATTATTTTTTTGTTTTATTCTAATTATTTTTTATATGTATTTTTTATAGGCTCTTCTGATGCAGCCATGAGAGGAAATTTTTTCTTTGATGAAGCAATGGTCTTCGCATATTCTCTTCGTCCGATCAGGAAAATTTCTCACAGAACTTGTTTTCGTTCGCCTTACCAAAATTCTAGTGTTGATGTGCCATCAACACGGTCGACTTTCTAGGCCTGAAGTTGATTGTTTAAATGAGAAAAAATATGCACAGTCCAAAAAGAATAAAGATCACAGACGTAAATCCACATTTGCTTTGTGTTCTGTGCGGAGGATACTATATTGATGCGACTACAATCATCGAGTGCCTCCATTCATGTATGCAATTAGATAACTTTACTTCATTAAACCGAAATTAATTTCAATTTTTGTTTTGCAGTTTGTAAAAGCTGTATAGTCAAGTATTTGGAAAAGAACAAATACTGTCCTATCTGTGATGTTCAAATTCATAAAACGTTCCCCCTTTTAAATATCAGAAGTGATAAAACTTTACAGAATATTGTCTATAAGCTAGTCCCATCCCTTTTCAAAGGTGCGTGTAATGTGTTAATAAATTTTGATTTATTTTGTGCAGCTTGTATTGACAGTTTTTTAATTTTTGTAGATGAAATGCAAAGAAGGGTATCCTTTTATGAGAAAAATCCAAACTTATTACCGTCAGTACCTGAAGATAGGGGAGAAATAACAGATACGACTCCGATCCTCTTTCCGGATGAACTTCTTATAATCAGTTTAGATTATCAAAATGATAAAAATCCAGAACAGGTAAAGTCCTCTAAAAATGAATTCTTATTTTATTGTGTTAATTTGTTTATTAACAATTTTCTTTTATTTCTTTTTTTCTAGGTACCAAAAAGATACTTTCACTGTCCGGCATCTATCACTGTTGCACATCTTTCAAAACTTATACGAGGCAAATTCAGTCTTTTGCCAACTCATCAAGTAAACATATTTTTTAAAGATGACTTCCTTCAAGAAAATCTTACTTTAATGGACATTGTCTATACTTATCAGTGTAGGAGGGTGAGTGAAAAGTTGTTTATGATGCTCAAAATCTAAATTATTAAATTGGTATTCCCTTTTCATAATATGGTGTTTTCATAAAATTTCTACTTTACAGAAAGTTCCTATTCAATTAACATATCGGATATTGGAACTGAAAAAGAAGACGATCAAGTTGATGCCTCCTGTTGAAAAAAAGGAAGAGAAAGTTGAAAATGAATCTCCAAAACAAGAAGCTGATGTTAAGATGGAAACAGACAAGGACGAAACTAAGGTAAAACCAAATGACAGCGTTGAAAAAAATGTCGGGAAATTAGAGGCCAAACCGCTGAACTCTGAAAGCTGGAAAGAGGTCCAGCTGCAAATAAGTGAAAATGGTGTGATGAGTGTAAGGAATATGGAGAACAGTGAGTGTTCCCCGAAACCAGCAGTTGAAGCGCCTGTGTGTAAAGTTCAGTCGACTGCTCCTCCGACACATCCGACAGCTAGCATGTCTGCAATAACAGCCTCTTTGTTGACTACGACTGCTACTACTACAATTACGACAAGTAGTACTAGAACAGAAGTTCAGCCTACACTCCAGTCTAACGGTCCGGCAGTTTCCATTCCGGGAACAAAACTCACTATGACCCCATCAGGATTCAGTTCAGTTCCGCGGTCGTCGACACAACCTATACTAAGTGTTAGTAAAGTAACTAAGGACCAAGTAAAAAAAAACTTAAACAGTGTCGAAGTAAACAAATTGAGCATAAGTCGAGTTCTCCCTGGAAAGTTCAAAGAGAAAAGCGAGACACTTAATAAAATAGTGAGTAAATTGAGTCCAAATGAAAGAGTTATCGGAAATACATCAGTTACAATTCGACCTGTTGTGTCCCCTACACCAAAACCCAATAACCCTGCAAGTCCAAATCTCCCTCCGCATCCTGCAAACACCCCACAGGCGAAGACTTTAAAGCCAGAACGAAAACCTCAGCAGACTATTAAATACAAAACCCTGACTTCACCTACAAAACAGTGGAATCCGAGTATAGATAGGACTACCATGTTAACACTGAAACAAAATTGTGATATGTCTAAACCACCTAGATTCTTCAAAATGCGCAACATGCCGAGATATTTGGGAAATCCGGCTTCAGGGGTTAAACCCATGTATGCAGGTAGTGAAGAACCGACACACAAGGAACTGCAGAAACCTAGGTCTCCAACAAAACTACCACCTCCTTATACACCAGGTGCGCCAAAAAATCTGAAACCTTTTTCAGATAAGACTTCATGGGGCCCTGCTATGCCTAGTCCTGCACATACCAGCCCATTTCTCCCTCCTACTAATCCTTATCATTTATTTTATTCTGGATTTCACAATCCTTATTCGAACCCAGATTCCTCATCCTTGCTCGTAGGGAGTAACACGGACCTCTTGAGGTCGATGGCGTTTCACGCTTCCCTCCGACCTTCTATAAATATGATGTTCAATCCTTTGCATAACATTACCCGCCCTTCCTTGGATTCACCTCCAACAATTCAAAGAATACCAAGGTCAAAGTCGCCCTTAAAAATTGAAGACAGGCCCGATAAAACTAACCATACACCAGCATCGACCTCAGCCAATTCTAAACCGATTGAACCACCAAAATTACCCCAACCAGCAGTCAGTGAAGCACCACCAGTAAGCGAAGCCGCTCTTCCCCCTTTGCCTCCTCCTCCCCAACCACCCCCGTCAAAAACTGAGCCTCCGCTTGAAAAAATGGATTGTAGTGAACCTCCAATTAATAATAATATCCCTTCAGCTCAGCCTCCCCCTAAACCGACAGAAGAAATAGTTCCAGCACAATAGTGCTGATATCTTTACATTGACTTCTTATTTGCTATAACTTGTTTTATTTTTAATTTTAAAAATGTAAAATCACATTTCACATCATTGAAATTAGAAATTTCAATTGAAACTTGGTTACATGAAATGTGCGAAACATTGTTTTAGCGACGTAGTCATTAAGCTTACAAAATTGGAAATATATATTATGGAAAGTCAGAAATTTTCCAGGACAATATTTGAATATATTTTTGCAAAAAGATTTATTAATTCAGTCAAAAATGTTGCCCTTTTTATATTTAAGTGGAAAGAAATATTCAATGTTCAATCTTCGATTAGCTGAAATATTTAAGATCTGTTACAACATTTAACAATTCTTGTAAATTGTTATTTATTTAAACGAATACTGCATGAGACAGGCATTTATATAAGATTTAAAATATGGGCTTCAAAATTTTGCTCAATTTGTTTTTGTTTTAATATCAAAATTGTATAAAATGGTTGTTTCTAGCATCAAATTTTAAAATTGTACACAGATATTTAAAGAAAGATAGTGTAAATATTGATTTTTATCAGTTTTCTGTATTTATTTTGTAAGGTTTTTCTGTTTATATTTTTCTTGTTTTTCTAGTGTTACTTTTATTTTTTATTTTATTTTATTTTTATTTTTTTAAATTGTGGTTGTATTCTAAAAAATTGTGTTTTGGACAATATACAGTAACGTTGTATATAAATGCAATATAACATCACATTTGTACATATTTTCACCGTTATAAGTCATTTCATTTTATTTGTTTACGGGAAGCTTGTATTTTTACTGGGGAATTATGTATTTTTGAATGATCCTACTTCAAATGAGTAAAAAACAAACACTTAGCCTAGATATGGACAAAAATTCTATTAACACATTAAATACTTACTTAGTATCATTTGTTGTTGCAATTTTTTAATTATAGAATTTGTAATTCATTATATGAAATATATAATCTGAGTACAGGCACATTAATCGTACAAAATGTGATAATTTTGCAATACACAATTTGTGCCTTTATTGTTTATTCATGTGACAATAAAACCAAACCAAAGCTTGTGCTCGTTAAAATACAAAAATATATATATTTATCATGAAATCATTATTTTTATAAAATTAAAAAATGTTATAAGCAGATATGAAATTTTTTAAAAATCAAATTATTACAAAAAAAATATGGTTTGCAGTATTAATTCAAGCGCTAGTAACGTAATTTGTTTACGCCCATGTAGCTGTATTTTCATTCCAATCCTTTAATTTGTGATGGAACAGACCTGTATCTTCCATTTCCCCATGTTGTCTTAGCACCAGTGCCTTTCTATTCTCTGTTAGCCTCTAGCATGAAATAAATTATTTATTTTTATAATAAGTTATGCACACAGATTTTATGTAAAATAATATATACATTATTATATAAAGAAATGTTTTCTTTCTTTTTACCCGACATTGTTTTTTACATTTAAGTCTTCTATCGTTTCATTGTGAAACATGTTAAACAAGACTTGTGAGATTTCTTCTTGAGGTCTACGGGTTGAAACTGTAACTGTCATTTCTGATCATTCTATCTGCCTACTTATGCTGGTTTTGTATGTCAGACCCAAAACTCCCATTGAATATGGCAAAAAGCCCTGTGCCACATGTATCTGAAAGAAAAGTCCTAAACAGGAATGATAGCATACAAAAATGACCAGAAACTACAAATCTAACAGTACCTTAATATTTTTGACTTCGTAGCTTACTCGTTTTATGATATTTTGATCTGCTATAACCAGCTTAATAGAACAAACAGTTGATCACACAAAATGAAGCAAGGGCTACCAAAATGTGCCTGGCAGACCAAAACGGCAAGAATAACAAACCAAAATGCAAATATCAAGCTGAAATAAATTGTGAGATTTCTCCATGTCTGCGGGGTGATGAGCCTGGAAATTTGGTCTCCTTTACTCGGATTGGTCTGTCAGATGTGCTTCGGCCATGATGATTCAAAATAATTGGTAATGACCAAGTTTCAAGCTGTACGCCTTATTCTCGTATTTACAGTATATTAATTTTAAACGAAAATACTTACATGAACTTGCAAAAATTCTTGGTGAGCTTTGGCAGTCGATGGGACTGGTGGTGTAATATTTGGTGATATTTGATCAACCTGGTATGCCATCCACACTTTTGGTCTGTTGTGCATATTTCAAGAGCCACTGTGCACAACCAGCTCCAATGCAAGTTGTTTTCTCAATTGTCACTTTTAGACGGTTTTACAAGCATAAAAGGGGCTGACAAAACATTTGTGGTAGTACTGGTGCCTTGTAATTTGATCACCAGCAATTATGTTCTTTCATCCATATTTCAACACTGTGCCATCTTTGTGATTGATAAACCCAGCATTGACGCTCCAATACGCATATTGCAGAAAAACCCCTTCTGACGGATCAACATAGTGACGATTTGCAGAGCAAAATGATCATAATGACCAAATTACAGCTTTCATATTGTTTGATGTCTCCTTGAGGTCAGGAGTGGATTTAACTTGAAACAGAGTAACTACAGTAGAACAGAAAAAAATAAAATTAAGGAAAATAACAGACCAACTACAGAAGATGAATAACATACATCTCAAGGGACCAACCACATACCAAAGATAGCCAGGCTAAAGGCTCTACAAGCCAACTCAAAACTTGTATAGAACTGCCAAAACACACATTCAAAGAAAACTGGGATCTTGAGTAACTAAAGGACACAAATAGAGGGAATGTAAGCCAGGCATGAGGCAAGCAAAAAGACCACTCATAAAATCAACCCAATGGGTGAAAGGGTAAATTGTACTCAATAGAAAGGACCTAAAATGTATATTTATGTTCCAGTAAAATACCACTAAAAAAAAGAGACTACTGATTGATGACCAATGTTGACTATGTCTAGAAGAGACAGAAACAATAAAATATATCCTATGCAATAGCTTGGAAAAGGCTATGGTGTATAGGAAAGCCATTCCTGCGGAATATTGACCTGGATAACATATACCCATGAGAAAAAGTCACAATAGTACAATAGAAAAAATTTAAGTGCTGAAGAGGAAACCCCCTACGGCTCCAAAGAGAGGGAACCCACAGAAGATGAAAATCCAAAATTTGTCAGACCAAAACAGCATGGATGGCGGATCAAAATAATTTCAACGGCAAGAATTAGCCTAATTCTCATATCTATAAAATGTATTAATTTCAAAGGAAAATTACGAATATAATGAATAACAAAAATTCTTGAGATCTTCAGGCCGATGAATCTGTAGGTTTGTCATATCCGATGTGATGAATATTCTCGCTGGTTTTGTCTAATGAGATGAAAAGCCAAAATCCTCAGGGCTTGTTTCAAAATGACATTTGTCTACCAGATGCATTTCATAATCTTCAGTTTTCTGATAAACCCAGCATTGAAAATGCCAAAACACATATTGCAAAAGAACACAGTGAGGTTAGACAGACCAAAATAACTGATAAAGACCAAATTACAGTTTTAATATTGTTTAATTTCTCCTTGAGGTATTTTGAGTGATGGATGTAACTTGTAGCTTGGTAGAATTACAGTACAAAATAATAAAAAAATACCACTCAGACTAACTAGCCAAAATGTGGTTGACAAACCAAAATGATCAGAAATGACCAAGCTTCATTTTTTTGGTGTAATAGTTGCAGTTACACAAGTTGCATGGTGTACATAAGTTGATTAAATAACTTGAAATCATACTGGACAATAAAGTTAACAAACTTCTCAATTTCACAAAATCTAGTTTTTTTTGTTTTTTTTAAATATTGTAGCGACATTTCACCATCTTCAGTTTTCTGATAAACCCAGCATTCAAAATACCAAAACACATATTGCAAAAGAACAAAGCGAGGATAGACAGACCAAAATAACTGTTTTAATATTGTTTAATTTCTTCTTGAAGGAAAAAAAACTCTCAGACTAACTAGCCAAAATGTGGTTGACGAACCAAAATGATCAGAAATGACCAAGCTTGTTTTAGTTGCAGTTATACAAGTTGCATGGTGTACATAAGTTGATTAAATAATTTGAAATCAAACTGGACAGAAAAGTTAACAAACTTCTAATTTTACAAAATCTAGTTTTTTTTTTATATTGTAGTTAAATTTTGGCGCAGAAATTCTTGTTGCATGATATTTCCGTGAAGAGCAGAAGATGTATTACAACAGAATTACCTCCTTGAACCATTGATAAACTAAAAATCATTCTTTTCTTGATTTCTGTTTCTTTTAGTCGTATAAGAAGTATTTATTTTAAATTATGTAATAAATTCTGGCATCAAAAATGGGTGTTTGGCGTATGTTGAATCAGAATACGCCCATAATTCTAAGTATAATATTAGGTTTGTCTTTGAGTTTCTTGGTGACAAGGTATTTGAATGAGAACTGTCAGGTCGGTTCGTTGTTGGACGTACAGGACAACGCTCTGAGGTCCGATGAGTTTGAACCCAAGATCAACTTTGCCGGCAAGCCGCAAAGGGCGAAGAAAGTGCCGAAGAACCTGGTCCGACCGAGGTACTACTCGACAGAGCTTGGTATCAGGCAACGGTTATTCATGGGTGTGATGACTACAGAGAAGACTGTCGGCTCCCTGGCTTTGGCGGTGAACAGGACCTCCTTGCCGTACTTGAACAAAATTATGTTCTTCCTGGATGCTGTCGGAGCGGAGAACGCCAGAGCATCCGATCTGAAACTACCCGGCATCATTGGGTTCAAAGATACCAAAGAGAATCTAAAGCCGTTTCATGTCATTAAATACCTGACGGACAACTTCTTGGAAGAATTTGACTTTTTCTTTATTTCAAAAGATACCACCTATGTCAATGCAAGACAGCTTGAAACTATCATAAAGAAAATAAGCGTGAGCGAACACATTCATGCAGGAGGCAAGCCGGCTGGTGAAGGTTCTCCATTTTGCTCTCTAGGTACTTATGATACAAGCATTATTTTTTACATTAATGCAAAATATTTAGAGATTTTATTTGGGTTTTGCGATGAGTTGAATAGTTTGGTAATTAATAACATGGTCTGCTTATTCTTGCGAGTTTAGTCTATCATCCGCATCATTCCATCATCTTCACTGAATCTTTGCAGTTTGGTAATTTTCAATATTCCTGGTCTAATTATCCATCACTGAAGGTGGTGAAATGTCAAAACTAGTCTGAATGAACAAATTAAGCATAGGCAGACAAAGATGGTTGAAAACAATCAAACTACAGTTTCAGCACCTTGCAGACCTCAACAAGATCTCTCACAATTATATATCTTTTTTTATATATTCTCCCTTTATATAAGCTGAATTTAACCAATTGTTTATTTTCCCCATACAATTTTATATCATTTATCTATTATTTGCTTTTTAATGTATACAATTTTTTTTCAAGATGGAGGAATTTTACTTAGTAATTCAGTTCTTAAAAAAATACGTCCATCACTCGACTGGTGTGTCAAGAATTCTTTTTCCGATTCTCACGATGCTAACGTCGGCCGTTGCATCCTCCATGCTTCGCAGCTGCCTTGTGTACAAATGGTTCAAGTATGTTCCGGATTAAAATTTATGTCAGTATATTGCGTTTTGATTTGCTCTTATGAGTGTTTTCCTTTAGGGAAATGTTTTTGAGAGTGTTTTCTTGAAACCGGAAGACGAAAGCCGACTCGAAAGCCTGGACTTGGGCTCAAGTTTGAGTTATTATCCCATATCTGATCCAAACGTTTTTTACAAACTCCACATGATGTTTTGCAAGGTAAAATTTTTTTAAAAATCTATACAAGAAATTTTTTAACGAAAATTGTTGTTCTTTTAATCAGAAACATCTTTTACAAGTCCGAGATGAACTAGCAAGGCTTGAGGAAAAGTTCGATAAGAAAGATTCGGCCTGGCCACCAGGCAGTTATCCACCAATGACACCCCCGACTAGATTTGACCTTCTCGCCTGGCAACATTTTGACCTGGACAATATCTATCTACCGTCTGATTTTCAAAACTATAAACCCTTGATTGGGCCAGACCGTCAGGATATTTTGGTTAGCATTGTTTTTATATATTGAGATTTATTTATTTATTTTAACTTCACAATTTTGTTTCAATGCAGCAATTTTAGGATTTCCGTGAGTCCTAATAAAGTTATTTCTCCTTTTATTTATTATTATTATATTTTTAATTAATACTTTTTTTTAAAGAATGCCCTGAACAAATCAGTGGACTGGGTAATGTCCCGCTATCCCAGTGAACTTCACTTCAGAAGACTGGTCAACGGCTACAGGAGGTTCGATGCGTCTAGAGGCTTAGACTACATACTAGATCTCGGATTCAAAGACAATACTGGGAAGGAAGTAGTAAAAAGGTATTTTTGTTCTAATACAGCCCTAAATATTTGTTTTTATTAATTAATTTGAAATGTAGAATAGAGGTGAGCAAGCCTTTGGGAAAAGTAGAACTGCTCCCAATGCCCTATGTCACTGAGAGCACCAGGATATTCATGCTCCTTCCTGTTCAGTCGAATGACAATCAACCGGCTTCAGAATTTATGAAGAAATATTCTAATACCTGCTCACAGACAGATCTTACATTTTTACTCCTTGTAAGTAAATTTATTATTTATAATTCAATTAATTAAGGTTTTTAGTCGAGATAAAAAAGTCAGCGTCACGAGCGGGATTCAAACCCACGACCTTCGGCTTGATACGTTGTTACTCTACCACTTGAGCTTTTATCTCAACTAAAAACCTTAATTAATTGAATGATATTAATTGGTCAAGCGGACCACAAAAAATAGTGAATTTAATGAATTAAAATGAAGTGTACTTCACTAAACCTCTCCGTGGCCATTTCATTTGTCGCCGAGAATCAAATAGATTACACGACATTTGAAAAATGGCAAAAAGGAGGGAAAATTCAAAAGGTGAGGTTGAGATGGGAAGTTGCCCAAGTGGAAGAGTAGCGGTGTATCAAGCCGAAGGTCATGGGTTCGAATCCCGCTTGTGACGCTGACTTTTTTATCTCAACTAAAAACCTTAATTAATTGAATTATATTAATTGGTCAAGCGGACCACGAAAAATAGTGAATTTAGGGAATTATTTATAATATTGTACTATATCTTAACACACTCATTACGGCCGTCTTTCTGGATCGACGCTCCTCTTCTAGAAAATCCTCACGTTCGAAGATTGTAGTAGGCCGTTGGAGGTATTTTTGTAATCGCTACTGTAAAGACTGTTTTTCAATTTGACCATTTACAATTTTTTGGAAAAAAAATTTAATTAATAATTTTTCTGTATCTCGAGAGTCTTTACAAATCAGTGCTGTAACAAATGTGTTAAGAAGCTTTTCATATCAGTTAAAGACAAAGCCTTCAATTAAGTATATTAATAGTTACACATTTAATTAGATTTTGCTTTATGAGCCAAGAGCACCAGGCAAAGGACACGAAGCAGATGTGTTTAAAGAAATCAAAGCCCTGGCGACAGATTTAAGCTCTAAAAAGCACAGGGATTGTAAAATCGCTTGGATTTCAATAAGGGTAAAACTTTCACATTAATAATTTTTTTTGTAAGTTATACAAATGAATCGACTTGTAGTTGCCCGAAGTTGACCACAAAGCTCCTTTGGAGGACCACTTGACGTATTTTGCCATGACGGATCTCGTAAGCAAAAAGCTGTCGCAAGAATCGCTCATACTGTTCACAGAGCCAAATATGGAACTGCGTAGCGACTATTTAAATCGAGTAATTTTTCCCACTTTCATATTAAAGAGTTGGAAATTTTTTAAAAATATGTATATTTTTTGTAAGGTACGAATGGGAACAATAACTGGGAAACAAGTGTACAGCCCGATACCTTTCACCGAGTACAACCCTGAAATAGTGTTCAGGAATGTCTCGCAGCGGAACACTGTTTTGGAAATCCATAAAAATTCTGGCCGTTTTGATATTGACAACACTCGTCATTTATCGTTTTACTTGAACGATTATACAGCAGGTAATTTATATTAATTTCATTTAATTTTTTTTTTAATATTAATATTTTAAAATTTGTCCAGCGCGTTCGAACATCACCTACCTCCCTGTGGTAAAGAGCGACAAAGATATCGCCAAATTGTTCTACTTCTACAAAGAATCAAAAGAGACCGGCAAAGTGAAATCTTTGTTAGATCTGTTCTCAAGGCAGGACATGAACGTCCTGCGTACCACCGAACCGTCTCTCAAGCTTCACAGGGCAGATTGTCATGAGATTAAGACTGATATCATCGGCCCGACTGAATATAGTCGGTGTAGTAGTCCAATGGCGACAAGAAGTCAACTTGGCCAAATCGTTCTAGATTACAAAGACAAATTAAGAACTATGTAGTTTTATTTATTTAAAAAAGGCTGTATGAATTAGGTAAATTATTTTAGGCTAGTATTTTTTTATAATCAATAATTAAAAAAAGAAAGTAGTAAAATTTAAAAAATATTGTTCAATTTTTGTTATTTCCTTCTGAACCCTTTGTTCCATCTTTCTTATGTTTAACCATGTCAATGATAATTCAAAAATAACTATCCATTATTGAAAAATTTGACGAATCTATGATAAAATCTTGATGTTAGGTGAATGATACACGTATGTGTATGAATGTTCCACCGGTCGTCACATCACAATGCTATGAAAACACACTGATAACACTTTAATTATCAAAAATCAAACTGCTCGCACTTAGACACAAAATCTATCATCTTTGCGTTAAATCTCTAGAATGATGCACTTACATACCATAGCGGTAAGTGCAGGGCGGCTGGATTCGAACCCGGGACCTTTACCTTACAGTGATGAGCGCCGTGTTAATGCCTTAACCATTGCCCTAAGTTTTATTATATTGATTTATAACAATTTAAGAGCATCCAGAAGATGTGAGATTTTAAAAGACAGTTTACTCTTAACTGGAAACCTTTTCTTTATCAATCAGTAAGAAACTCAGCGATGATGACTTGGAGTGTTGACTTTTTTATCCTTATAAATTGGTTGGTTTACAAGTTCGACTCGTAGCGTTGGAAGCTAAGACAATTAATTCAATTTTAAAATTTTTGCCTGCATTGACTGTAATTAGCACAGGGGAGTATTGTTTTGTGAGATGACGGTGTGATGATCAGTGTGGAAACGGCCAAGGATACCACTTCTCTGGTACGAAGACGAGCTGCAACCAAGAGACAGAGAGGGCTTCTTTTTTTCCTTCATGAATATAAGTAAGATCCAGATGTTACATACTAAAAATAATTTTCAATTAAGGTTTTTAGTTTAGATAAAAAAGTCAGTGTCACGAACGGGATTCGAACCCACAATCTTCTGCTAGATACGCTGCTGCTCTACCACTTGAGCTCTCGTGACCTCATCCACTCGGACACTTAATTTCCCATCTCAACCCCATCTTTTTGAATTTTCCCTCCTTTTTGCCATTTTTCAAATGTGTAATCTATTTCATTCTCTCTGATTTTTATCACAACTAAAAACCTTAATTAATTGAGATATTAATTGGTCAAGCGGACCAGGAGAACTAGGGAACTAAAAATAATAAGGTTAGGACTAACAATAATGACTTTTTTTTAATATTTTTTATTTTCTTCGACTGAATAGCATACACAACAAACCTTACACATACGATTCACTTTCCAATAACAGGGGTTAAAATATTCTATACAAAGGGCACTTGAAAATGGACTCCGATTTCATTTTACAATACAAAATATTTTACTTTTTCTTTATCAATCGGCAAGAAACTCAGCGACGGCGACTTGTGATGGTACGTGTTGGCTTTTTTTATCCTTATAAATTGGTCGGTTTACAAGTTCGACTCATCGCGTTGGAAGCTAAGACAGTTAATTCGATTTTAAAATAGGGAAGGAATTGGTTTGTTTTCGTTTAAACTTAATCATAATGCACCACCTACTACCAATAAAAAATAAGTCGTGATTTTTTTTTTTTTCATTGAGCATTTCCATGCGGTAGCAGACATTGAACAATTAATATTTAACAAAATACAAATTAATTTATAACAACACAGAGGAGATTAAATTAAAAAATAACAAAATTGTTTCCTAGTTTAGAATTGCAACATTCTAGGCGTTTCCTGGAATAAAGGCCCTGCCAATTTCTTCACTTTTTGTTATGTACACGAAAGAGTATTTATAATTATTTATAATATTTATAGATAGATTAAAGAGAGTTGGAGAAAAAAGATAAGAGAGGATTTCAGTCCGAATCTGACCCCGACTCTGAGAGCTGGAGGTCTTCATTCAGTAAGTGTTCGGGCATAGATGCCAACGATGGTGAACTTTTACCATTCACATGGCCTGAAAAAAAAAAAGAACAAAATTAATAACACTGAAAATAAATGGTTTAAAACAAAAAAAATACTTAAAAATAATAACATTATAAGTTGTTTACGCCAAAGCGTAATTTATTTTGTTTTCTTATTAAAATTAATTAACTAAATTTTTTAATTAAAGTTCTGTTTATTTTAAGCCTCCGACCACTGATTGGCCCGCTGAATGGTGTTATATTTCCCCAGTAACAACCCATAGGTGGATGCAAAGGAATGGCCACACCCAGTAGAAGAAATGTTCTCGGAGAGGAAATGGAAAATTCTGATATTGAAGCCGTCACTGAACTACGCCGTAATAATTTATAAAGGTGAAAAAGAAATTAAAATAACTCAAAAGATGCGCATTCTGGTGCTCCAATAATCAGGCAGAAATTCTGGCAATCCACAAGCCATTACAATGGCTTTTAAAGGGCGGTGAATTCATCAACAGTAAGAATAAATAGCACAGTTTCCTTAAGCATAATTAAAGACCATAGAAATCACAATCTGCAAACTTTTAAAACTGAGGCCATATTTTTTTACTACTAATCACCCTATCTTTAAGGACAAAGTTTATGTTAATGGCTTACCAATTGAGACGAAAGAATTAGATGTTATTTTGGATAGCAAGTTTAACTTCTCTAGTCACATAAGTATATATAAAAAAATAATAATAAAAATAAATGGCTATGAGGATCCACTTTTTGCTTTGTCTCGCAACTCTGTGCTGAACTACAGAAATAAACTCCTCATCTACAAAATAGTGATAGATAGCCTGCCCTCCTGTACGCTTGCTATGTCCAAGTCAAACTGAAAGAAATTACAGTTCACACAAAATAAAATTTTGAGACTAGAAACCTCTTCGAACCCCTGCACAAAAATTAACCTCCCACCTCCAAGAGAGTACAAAAATGGGATATACATGAAGTTAAACGACTGTTAACTTCTTTAATAAAATGATGGAACACAGAAATCCCACTTGCCAACAAATTGGAAGGTACTCTACAAATACTAGTTGAAAACACGAGAGTAAAGCATATATTACACTAAATCTTTAATTTCCATAATCAGGCCTATTTATATTAACATTGATTTATACATAGTTGCCTTATTTAAATTATTTATTTATTTATTTATCCGTTTAAATTGTTTAAATTTATTTACTTAGGCTATTTATTTGATATATTTTTGGTTATACATTGATTTTAAAACTTTAACTTATTAACTAAATCTGGCTTGGTTATTTAAATTGTTAATTGCTATTATATTGGTATTTATGTTTTTTACAATTCTTGTGATATCGCCAAATCTATTGTACTTGACTTAAATTATCTTCATTCATTTTATTAGGTTTACTTAATTTTTCCACGAGTTTAAATTAAAAGTCAAGTTAAGTTTTGGGTTCAAATAGAAATACATATAAAACGGGATGTAATAGTTCCTATCGTGTTAAAAAAAATAGAGAGGAATATGAGTATTACAGAATCCAAAAAGATATGGACGGATGAAAAAGAGAAGTATAACAAGAACTTACATCCCCCTGCATTAGAGAAAGAATAAAATTGAGCACACTCATCACATTTTCATGTAACTGACAGCCCAGATTCCATGTGGAAAAGATGAACAAACATGGAAACATATAATATATGACTGTGACTTATATGATTGGATAACAGAAAAATTATAAAGATGTTAAATTGAAGGAAATGGCCAATAGAAGAAATAATGTTATTTTCAAAATAACCACAGAAATTTTTCAGTTTCATGAATTTTCCAAATATTACGGACTTATAAATGAAGTGTTGTTATTTATAAATTGTTAATTGTTTTGATTATGGCATTGTTAGTCTTGAAAACAAACAAACACAACTGTAAAATAAAAAATGTTAACTTTTTTTTTAGTAAACAATGTCCATAGATTTTGCATAGGAGTAATTAATTCAGTCTTGCTTGTATTTTGTGATTAAAATGTTTAAATCTGAAACTGGTAATAAATTAAAAACACATTGTATATGGACTATACGCAAAGACTTTCTCCTTTGTAGGAAAACCAGGATGATAGATAATAACTGAACCAGAGTTTCAAAATTTTGTAGACCTCACTACAATTTATGATTGTTTATTTGTAATTTCAATGTATATATATATAAAAGGACATAATGTCGGTAATAAAGCTTAATAATCAGGTTAACCAGTAGCCTTTTTTTTTGGGGGGGGGGAGGAATCAGGAGGACTACTTACTTAAGCGATATTTCATCTCCCAAACTATTGCCATACTAACTTTTATTCTATATTTATCACATAATTATCTAAATTTTCTTTAATTATACCAAAACTGCTTCAAAAATATGAATTCTTTATAGCAGGGTTTCTAAACTTATTAGCTAGCGGACCCTATTCACAGAACAACATCTAAGGCAGACCCTTCACATTCAAGTATTTAAAATTAGCTACTTACAGTATACGTAGTAAATTAAAAGTTTTATAAATTAGCCAGTACATTCTTAATTAGATGATGGAGAGAGATATCACTATGATTGACATACTTAATATTATTTACAAAATCTGGAACACAAAAATCGAAATGAACCGAACGGAATCAATAGGTATGTAATACTCAAGCCAAATTCATAAATATGGCATTTTTTCAAAGATAAAGTAAGTGTACGGAGAAAACAATGACAGCTTCTGCAAAATAAGAAACTTTCCTTTTCCAGCCTTACAAATTAAAGGAAATGACATTCGACGGAATCCTCCTGACACCTCTGTGAAAAGTACCTAAGTGTTCATCTGAACAGAAGGGTATCCTGGAAGAACCACAATAAATAAAAAGGCGACGGAAGGATATGCTTGTCTGGGTATGCTATATCCAATAATAAACCGCAAATCCAAGATAAGGCCCAAACTCGCTATGCTAATTTATAAATCTATCATAAGAGTGCAAAATATCAGGAGTGGCGTCTTCTTCCAAAATAAAGCAGATGCAAATATTACAAAATAAAATGGCGCGAATGGCGATAAATGCCGAGCGGTACATAGGTGAGAGGAATAACCGGATACACAAAGAACTACAACTCCCAACTATACGAGAGACAATTTACAAGTGATTCAACAAGTTCCATTCCCGACTTAGTAGACACGTGTCCATTTCAAATTAAGAGGAAAAAAAGGAATAAGTCTGAAGCTAAATTAATGGAATAGTTAATTTATAAAGTTCAAAATTCCATGGTTAAAGAGAAACTTTTGTTTAGTTTTCATTATTCAATGACAAAAGATTAAAAATTAAATTAAAAAAAATAATAATTTAAATTTAAAACAAGTCTTTTTTTCTTTTTATACAGCGAGTTTTTTTGCAAACTGTGCCAGATTTACTATATAATTAAAGAATAAACTAAAATAAAGAATAAATAAAATGAAATAAGTCTCCAGACTGTTTTGTTTTTACAAAATTGCAAGGATGTCATATCTGGCAAACTTGATAAGGGGTCCATGACAAAGTTTAAAGTTGTCTTGAACTTTCACTTTTCTCACAATCTATTAGCGAGGAGGATGGGTTAAATAAAATTACGTTTGTTTTGTGAGGCAAGAATTCACAGAAAATATTGACAGTTTTGTGATCATATTACAGACCATACTTTCATTTATAACTGCCTGGCATTTAATCTTGTATTTTAATCAATTATATTTAATTAATTTTAATTAAAAACAATCAAACTCAATACATGACAATGAGGTTATCTTTCATAAAAATGATTAATGACAAAATCCATTTTTTCCCCCTTGACAATATTATGAATTATCTTTTTAACTAGTTGGACTGGGCCCTTTTAATTCTCGATTAGGTAAAAGTGTTTTTCTTTTTAAAAGAGAATTAAAAGGAACATGCGATTTTTAAATTAATGTAACCTTTGTAACGACCTTTACAGATTATTTTAATAAACGGACGAGATAAAATGCACTTCAAGGCAATGTTGTCGAAACAATCAAGGTACAAATAACGATAAACAAGAACGACCTCGGGCAACAAGAGATAAGCAGATCAGAGAGGTAGGGGGCATTCAGAATGGTATAAAATAGGAGGGCCCCTTCACTAATGCCACTCACTTTTCAGTGAGACTCTGGAAAACATTTCTTTTCTCTTAGGATAGCTTGTTTTATCATTATTTGCACGGAATATAATTTAAAAATATTGAAATGTAAAATAATTTAGTGAAAATAATTGTCATTTGTTAAACTAAAATTAAGATAATAAAGTTGTTATTGGCAGTAATAAATGCATGGCATGCTAAATATGTATTCAGCTGTTGTTCTTAGTACTAATTTTTTTTCTGTTTATGCAAATAAACCCTCACCTTGAACCTCAGTTAAGACTAATTTCATTGATTGCTATCCTTTTAATTTTATTTTAAGATTGTTTTAGTAATACATTACATAACCTTGGTGGTTAAAATAAATTACAGATTTGATTTTAAATTAAAATAATAGTTCAAGAGTTTATCAAAAAGTTAAAAGTTAACACTTACCATTTATCACTTTTGGAGCTGGCTCAGGTTCACTATCACTATCTGATGAATTGCTATCACTGCTCGAACTCGATGATGAGTCTGAAAGTATCCCTACTTCAGGGGTGCCGTCCTATAAAACAAAATTCAATTAGCACTATCCCTCAAGATAGTTAAATAGAGAGCTTACATCATCGTTTAAGTTGATCCCTGAGAAGTCGGGCGAGGTTTTGATCTCAGGGAGATTCAGCGCAGCGGATATATCGAAGCTATTAGATGAATTGTCGTTCAATTCATCTAGGATCGGAAGACTCCCAGCCGGAGTGGGACTGTAAGAGAGTCGGATTAGATTTTTTCGTTTTATTAGATGGACAAATAGTCTTCTTTACCTGGAAGCGGTGATGTGGACCTGAGGCGGAGACTTGTGAAAACTGGCCGGATGCGGTGCTGGGCTTCTCATAGGGTAAGACGGAGACACATGTAAGGGAGAATGCCGGGCGACGCCCCCGACATTCTTCCCGCTCCCTGCCTTCTGTCTGGAGCCCGGGGGAGAAGGCTTCTTTTCGACCGGAGTCGGAGGTCGACCATAACCAGACGGTTTATGCGACTCTTGCCTTTATTCAAAAAATTTTATTAATTTTTCAAACTCAGAAAGCAAAAAAAAAATATAATAATAATATACATATAAATATTATTATAAAAAAAAATCAATAAATGCAAGTTTACAATGGTATTTGAAATAAATTTTAAAAGACATTTTTAAAAAAATGTGTAAAAATATGAAAAATCATTTTGTTGTCATTGAAGGGTATCTTTAAGATAACAAGAAGTTTATTCTTTAAAATAAATACTGCACTTTCTCATTGTGGTATTATCTAACTACACACAACACCAACACACCCAAAGCACAATCAACCCAATCATCCCCTAATTTTTCTTCACTAACTCGACTCTTTCTATCAAATATTTTTTAATATAACCTTTAATCATTTTTATTTTCATTAATACAAAAGGCTTCACATTTAACTAATCCAATTGAATGAAAGATCAAAGATTCTAAAATGAAAAAATCTAAAAAAAAGTTAAGCTCTCAAGTAACAAAGTAAATAAAGAATGCCACCTTCGGAGCTGTTATCATATTTCCAAAGTTTTATGCCTACTAAACTGTTTTGTATCTACAATTAGCTTTTACCTGCAACTTTGTCCACATGGGATTCTTTTTTGTTTTAATGTACCTCTCTAATGTGATGCAGAGTGCTAGTACAGCTTTGTAATATGTCTCGTTTCATAAAATCTACTCTCCTTCAGTGTACTTCTGTTTATACATGATAAAAATTGTCCATATGATCCCCTTAGGGATGGAATTTCAAAAAATCCTTTCTTAGCGGCTAACCATGTCATTATAAAAAAGCACTGTCAAAATTTCAGCCCTTTAGATCCAGCGGTTTGGTCTGTGTGTTGTCTGACAGTCACGGAATTGTTTTATATATAGATATTCCATAACTATGCATTATGAATTTTTTCTTCTTCATTGTATAATTGGCTAAACTTTCACAAAACCTTACATATTTTATTATAAGATCTTTTTAGATTCACAACTTTTATTGTAAAAGTGTATAGTGTTTAATTACCATTAGCCAATGATTATTTGGAGATCGTGAGATGCAGTCTGGTGTGACTAGGCTTTAGAAAACATTTTCTTTATTGTGCCAACGTTTCAATCATTATTCAGATCATCTTCAGGGCTCAAAATGTTTGTTTTCTGGGTAGATGTATCATTCTTGTGTGTCGTGCTGAGTGTTAATAAAGAATATATATGACAATTTATGATTAAATTACTGAAGATATGGGTACTTTATTGGATTAAATTATAGAGAACTAATGCCATTTGTGAAGATCTTAAGAGACTTATTTTTTATCACCATATGGTCGTTTTATTAACTTTAACCGCGAGATCCCTAAGCAAAAAGGCTGATTTCACCAGTTATATGTGGCATTTGACTAGTAATTTTTAATGTTACCGAAATGATTTGAGACCAATTGAATCAAACTGTCAAGTCTATCCTGCTTCTAGAATACTGAATAAGGCAAATGGAATAAATTTAAAGCAGTTTTAGATCAAGTAATTTTTTTTTGGCTTTGGCGTAGCCATCTGCCACATGTTAACTTACATATTGTTGTCAAGTTCACAGCCGATCCCAGAGGCTACCCGGACTTATACAGTTTTCTGGGGTTCCTTCATCCTTGTAAAGATCTTAAGGGACTTTTTTGCCATATGCTTTTTTTTATTTATTTTTTTTACTTTAGCCATAATCCCTAAGCAGAAAGGCTGTTATAATCAATTTTATTATTTAATTAAGGAACAAAATAGGTGAAATTTGACTGGTAATTTTTGATGTTTTCAAAACGAGTTGAGACCAATTGATTCAAACTGTCAAGTCTATCCTGCTTCTAGAAGATTGTATAAAGCAAATGGATTAAATTTTAAGTAGTTTTAGACTTTTTTTTTGTTGCTTCAGTGGACCCATCTCCCATGTGTTAACTTATATCTTGCAAAAGATGCCATCTCGCTGGCAAGTGCCCAGCCGACCCCAGAGGCTACCCGGACTTATACAGTTTATTACATCTTGCATTAGGTGACCGTACGATGGCCCTTTTTAATGTTGCGGATAAAAACCATTTACAATAAATTCACTTATGGAAAATTCCACATACTCTGGGGGACTGGGTCTTCATCCTCTGAAGATTGTCTCCTTTGTGAAGATCTTAATTTCCCCCCTCACCATATGGTAATGTTCTTAAACTTTAACCATGATCCCTAAGCAGAAAGACTGATTTCATTGTGTGGTGATTAGTGGCCATTAATCGATATTTATTTAGAAATCGTGAGATGCGGTCTGATGTGATGTAGGTTTCAGAAAAAGTTATTTTATTATTTAATTAAGGAACAACAGGCAAAATGTGAGTGGTCATTTTAGATATTTTCAAAACGAGTTGAGACCATGATTCAAAAATGTTACGTTCGTCCTGCTTCAGTTTTAATAAATGAAAGAGCAAATTATTCTTTTAAAAAAACATGTTTTAAGATCAGATGATATTATTTTTGACGGTTTTTTTTCTCTCAACGTGGAACACAGACATTTGCTGAATCTGCAGTGTTTGCAGGCAGGGAATCTTGCCATTGCTTAAATCTTCAAATATTTAAAGAACGGATGGTTTCATGACTTGCGGTGGCACGATAAGGAAAAAACTTAAAATACAAATAATCATTGAGTTCATAACATGACAGCCCAGAAAACGTTTGCAAGAGTACAAAGAAAAATCAGATTGACTATGGTGTAATTGATGACAAAAGAAGGCTGAGACTGACCGAGTCTTCTTCAGTTGTATGTTCGTCGCAAGTTTTTCCAGTGTGATTTCCCCCGTGGACCTGTCGATAATGAGGACGCATTCTTTGTGGTACGGTTTCTGCGAGCCTTTGAAGACGGTCTGCGGAGCGCCTGCAGACTCCAAGTGTGTGACTGTGATCTGGTGGTTGGCACCCACTTCGATCGAGGCATGCTTGCTGGCAGATACGACGCTGGCGGGTTTGAAGTCATCTGCAAAGTCCAAGTGTCGATTAAGCTCGAAATAAACGTAAAAGCGCGTGACCACGCTTCTGGTAACACTTTGCCACACTTCCTAAGTCCCCGGGCGGGATTTCGACCCAACAAGACCACAAGGGACCGAGTAAAATAGGCTACATATGGAAAGTTACTTACATCTCAGTGTGTGGAATGCAATTTTATTACTGGAGAAACTGTCGCCGATTTTCAATTCCCTCGGTTCTGGCCCTAACCCTAGTTTGTCCGCCATTAAATAAAAAATTTATTGGCAGGATAAAAAGCAATTACATTATTGAAAATATAAACTAAAGGCTGGAAGTGGCCAAACTGGAGATTTCACTTCCTACAGATTTACGACAAGGTTCGACATAAACATTCTCCTCGGCCAGATTTAAGCGATTTGGCATAATTTCACGAAAAACCGATCGATTCACATTAATAAACAGGTCCATTCATATTTTACTTGACCTATAAAATAACTCCGTCTTGAGACCATCAGGTACATTAGTACATTTGTTTTCTTATTACTGACGTCTATATATCGTCCACATAAAGGAAATATGAAATGATAAATAATCTTTCGCTTTTCTTGAAAAAATGAACAAACAGCCTTGATTAAATTTTATTTCTTTTAATAAAAAACTAATTTGATTATTTTAATTTACTTATTTATTAAATAAATGAGATGTGTACATTTAATATTCATCGTTTTCATCCACTGCCACGTGGTCATAGCGGTAACTAACTCCGTTCGGAAATTTTAAATTTAAAATACTGACACTATGAAACATGATAGTGTATGTTTCATCAAACCAAAAATATGAAAATAAAACCAAATCAAAAAATAGCTAATGTATAAATAAACAGACAGTTTATGTTAAATATTAATATAGAAAGTAATAAAAATTAACTCCGTTCTGAAATTTTAAATTCAAACACTGACACCATGAAACATGATAGTGTATGTTTCATCGAACCATAAATATGAAAATAAAACCAAACCAAAACACAACAAATATATAAATAAACAGACAGTTTGTTAAATATTAATATTGAAAGAAATAATTTCATTTTGAATTTTTCACTATAAACATGATAGTGTATATTTAATCAAATCATGAATATGAAAATAAAACCAAACCAAAAAAACAACTAATATATAAAGAAACAGTCAGTTCATGTTAAAACATCTGATGTTCTTAATGTAAAATATCTTTACAAAATAGACATCCACATAAAAATGATTTACTTTTATATTTCATTCAATTTTACCCAATTGTTTTGAATGTTTAATATTTACGTATGTCTATTCTTTGTCATCTTGAGTGTACAATCGCCAAAAAAATTTGGTCCAAATTCGTGGTCCACCAACCTGGTTGTCCCCTAGTTAGTGTAAAATATCTATACAAAATGGACTCCATGTGAAGTGGATTTCTTTCAAACTAGACCAATAGTTTTGAAAGTGGAATATTGAATTTTATCTTTCATTGATAATCTAAGTTTTTATACTCTGAATTTGTACAAAAAAAATGGTTAAAATGATATATTCATATAGTTGATTTGTCCCAAATCTGTGGCAAAAAACAAACAAACAAACATAAATAAACAGTCAGTTTATGTTACAACATTTGATGTTCTTAATGTAAAACATCTTTACAAAATGGACTTCCATACAAAATGATTTACTTTTATATTTCATTCAATTTCACCCAATTATTTTGAATGTTAAATATTTACTTATGTCTATTCTTTGTGTGTGAGTATGTGAAGAGAGGAAATAATTGCAAAATTAAAAAAAGCTCACCATTCTAGTAGATTATGGTTGGTGTATTGGATTTTTTTCTTTTGGAACTATGTCGGCCATGTGACATTCGGAGGTAGCCATACTTTTGGAGACCAAAAGCCTTCAAGGAAGTTGCCCAGGATTATAATAAATATCTTTACAAAATGGACACCATGTGGATTTGATTTCTTTCGAACTAACCCCATAGTTTTTATTGTTGAATATTGAATTTTGTTAATTAAGGTTTTTAGTTGAGATAAAAAAGTCAATGGCACGAGCGGGATTCGAACCCACGATCTTCGGCTAGATACGCCCCTGCTCTACCACTTGAGCTATCGTGACCTCAATCCACTCGGACACTAACTGCCCATCTCAACCTCACCTTTTGAATTTTCCCTCCTTTTTGCCATTTTTCAATCTCTCTCTTTTTTTAATCTCAACTAAAAACCTTAATTAATTGTAATATATTAATTAGTCAAGGGACCACGAAATTAGTGAATTGAATTTTGTTTTTCATTGATAATCCAAGTTTACACATTTTGAATTTGTAAAATGATATATTCACATTATTGATTTGAACATGTAGAACATCAAAATAAAAATATTAAAAAAACAAAAAAATTCAATTTTCAACTTTTTATTTTTAATTTTTATTTAATTTTTTTAATTTTTTTTAAGCCTATTATTTTTTAAGGCCTATTCACAAGAAGTGGAGGATACGTGTCCAATATTTGACCCATCAACCTGGTCTCTCCTAGTCTGTCTTTACAAAATGGACTCCATGTGGAATTGATTTCTTTCAAACTAACCCGATAGTTTTGAAAGTTTAATACTGACTTTTGTCTTTCATTGATAATCCAAGTTTTTGCACTTTGAAATTATATTTTAAAAAAAGTATAAAACGTAATTTCCCTATTTTTCGAGTTGTGCTGTGGACCGGTTCGTGGGAGGGCGCGGGCGTCGAGGGCGGGGAAAACGGCCATCGGATCCGTTTATGTTGGCAAGAGACATTGTCAATGGATCCTCGTAACTCGTAACTGTTGGGAGGGAGGAAGTCGCCGACTGGGGAGTGCCGGATCCAAAGCAAAACCCCAATTGCCGAACCGATTCTGCTCGTGTAGGAGGAAAAAGTTCTCGCAACCAACTGGGTCGTCGTCCGCCTTTCCGTCTCCTCCGTTTCAGCCCGGCTCCGGTGGCGAAATGGGCTTCCTGGGCGACTTCATTGAGGCCTTTTGGTCTCCAAAAGTCTGGCTACCTCCGAATGTCACATGGGCCGACTTAGTTCCAAATGAAAAAATCCAATACACCGACCATACTCATCTCTACTACCCTTTGCCCATGGCACTCGGCCTGCTGTTACTACGGTATTTACTAGAATGGTGAGTTTTTTAAATAATTTTTTTAAACAATCCAAGGTATATTCCTTTCACTTATCTCTTATCTTCACACACACACACACACACACACCCAAACAAATTACCGATTTAAAAAAAAACAACTTAAACCGTCTTGTTCCAAGAAAACACAGTTCGATTAGATATAACTAATTTCTTACATAACTTCGACGTGCATTTGAAACATTAACAATACATCGTCTTTCTCTTAGATAAAACTATAATTAAAGGTGATGCTGGGTGTTGGTCTGCGAGTCTGTGAACTCGTGCTGAACCGACAGTCTGTCTTCACTCGCAGATTTGTCAAACTACTCATACACGTTTTGACATTGTACTGCGGTTCCACTGCGCGAAATTCACTCGTGCGATTTCTGTGAAATTCGTCTTGTGTAGTGGAGACAGTCGGGACTGAAAGTTTTGGTGCGAGGATGTTTTGTGTTGAGCTGACCATTTTAGTGCCTATCAAAGCGTTCGGCTGTGTGTAAAACACTGGTCTCGAGTACCAGAATAAACCAGGAGGACTGCCTTCGTCTTATACGAATGTACCAGAGCTACTGATTTTTGTGTGATGCTAAAGATAAAACTCATCAGAACAAGAATAAGAGAGAGGATGCATGGAAGGAAATGATCATCAAAATGGGAAAAGGCAAAATATACAACAGAAAGTATTGGCATGATAGCAAACTCTAATGCAGCAGTTGATGTTATAAATGACCGTGCTACTGATGGCTCATGTTGTTTCACCTCTTGGTTTTTTGCCTTGTGTAAATAGTTAACCCAAGATGTTTCGGAAGTAATTCTCATGTTTTGTCGGAAAAATGATTTTTTTGCACAGTGGAAACCCAGCTTGCTATTTTCAGTGAGGAACAGTCTGTCACTTTGTCCGAGTACTGAGTAGGGCTTATATGTCAACATACGTGAGAAGGTGATTACCGGACAATTAACTCATTGCTTATTTAGCACGAACTGTGATTAAATGAAAATCAGGCAAAAACATATGCACAGCGTAACCCACATGTCTTTGAGGATGATGGCAAATTGAGCCAGTCTCATCTCTACCCGAGGTGGAAATGCTCACGAATCTAATTCCTGATGTAAAAAGAGCCGGTAGGGGGGGACATCGTTTTAACTTTTATAAATTTATTATTAAGCAACCTAGTATTTTAATCTCTAAGAAAAACTAGGGTTCGAACGGTTCGCTGGAACAAAAACAAACCTGTCTACTGCGCCTGCACAAGTATGACTGGCGGAGAAGAGTGCATTACCAAAAACTTGCATACTCGCAAAAACCAAGCTTTCATCAGGTCACAGTTATCAGCATACAAAAATTATGAAATCAGCAGCATTCTGCTTGTTGACAGGCTCAGCGATGTTTACAGTAAAGTTCACCCTTAATGACTAATTAAATATTTGTTTAAAATTGACTGATGCGTTTTTGACGACATTGCACCAATATCATAATATGCTCATTTTATACGTGGTACAGGCAGTAAAAACATAACTGACTCATTTTACATACCTACTTCGGTTAATACGATGAGGTCGGCTTAATTTGACACTACCTGTCTTCGAATAAGATAAAATGTTTTTACAGCCCTGTTGACTTTTAGTTGTAGAGATAACAATGATAGTGTAGGCCAATATATTAAAAGTGTGGGTTGAACAAGGTTGTCTCTTGTCTCTCCTTGTATTCTTCATGTTTTCGAACAGTTTAGCTGGATTCTTCATAGTTGGGTGCACCTTGCAGTTTTGAAATTATAAATTTCTTCTGTTGTACACATGACTTTTCCTAAATTGGGCTGCCCTATTATGACAGATACACGTAAATTATTCTACTTAAAACTGAGTTATAATTTTTATGTAAAATGTGGTTGAGTTGAAAAATTAGTGACACACGCTGGGCTTGAACCCATGACCTCCGGTTTAAAACCTTGGTTGTTTCTTGTTTTCCATTTTATTCTCCATGTTCTTTAAAGGGCTTACCCTCAATAACTTCAATGATAGGTTGCACTTTTTCATTTTTGGAACTATAAATTTCTTCTCTTTTATGTATTTTCTTTGTTTACTGTATGACAGGTACATGAAAATTAGTCTAATTGCATAATTAAAGACAATGTTGTCACTTGTCTTTGTTTTTATTTTCCATGAACTTAGTTTAATACTACATACCTTTCTGTATGGCAATTATAAATTTCTTCTCTTGTACACACATTCAAAGACAAAAAACCGGACACATTCCATAATAGACTTTTTTAAGGTATAAAGTATTAATAATCCATAAATCCAACTTTAATAACTTGTTTACTTTTATACTGTTACTAATCGTTTTACACTGTTTAGATTAAACATAAAATCTAATAGATTTCCAAGTAATTTCTTTCAATTAATTAATCTTTACGTAAGGTATTGAAAATCTTTAGTTTAGTTGTTAGTTTTTTAAATTGTTTTCTTTGATGGAACAATAAATTTGAGAGAAAAAAAAAGATTAGCCCAGGAGGAGCAGTGCTTTACCGTGCATGTGGTCTTAGGGCTACCGGAAGCCTCGATTGAAGTGAAGGTAGTGATTGACTGCGATGTACGATGGTTAAAGATGACGAGTTTATTGCTCTTAATGCACTACAGAACTGTCATTTAACAGCTTTCTTGAGAGGTAGTCAGCGGTCTGTAATGTAATGGTGAGCTATAAAATAATTAGCCGAAGGCTTCGTGAGAATAGCCTAGTCTCCAAGATAAAGAAGATGAAAGGCTATTCTCAAATCAGCATCTTGCTGGATATTTGAACAATGGGGGGGGGGCCTGTTTTCTTTACAGATGAGGGGATGGAATCAATCAGTCCATGCCCATACCAAACTGATTATCGTAAATAATGGATCTTTGTCTGTACTAAGGTACACTGAGAAAGTTCTTCTGGAACTGTCCCATTCACTCCATTTGTTGGGAAATCATTGTATTAATGCATGATAATGCTCGATCACATGTAGCTCAAGTGTCACCCATTACTTGGAGGTGCGTTCTCTTGACATGAATTCCATAGAACACATATGGGACACGATAAAGAGTCAGGTTAAACATTGTTCCAGTCTCCAATAAATTTTGATCAGCTTTAAACCGCTCTTATTGAACAATGAGATTCTGTTTCACAAGATGAAATCCGGTTGCTTATTTATTCAACTCACACCTAGGCGTCTTAAGGCCCTCTGCGAGGCTAGAGGATCAGAGGAGGTAATACATGTTATTAAGAGCAAAACTAGGAAATAAATTGTTAAATTTTAATGTATCACTAAACGATTTTCTGATGTTTTAGTGAATTTTCTATCAGACCAAAAGTAATTTGTATTAAAACTCATGAATTTCTGACCTCAATTAATTTGGTTTATTAGTATCCAAGACCTTTATCTTAGGGATGGTTAGGGTTATTTTACAGTGATGAGTTACTGTATCGCCTTAACCGTTGTGGCCATCGATGATGCAAAGGTTGTCTCTTGGCTTTGTTTTTTTCTTCATGTTTTTGAACAATTTGGGTGCACCTTTGGCATTTGGCAATTATAAATTTCTTCCCTTATATATGCAACATTTTCCTAATTTAGTTTAAGACAGATATATGTGGAAATTAATCTACTTAATGCTAATAATACTATCTACTTGTCTCAGCTTGTATTCTCCATGTTTTCAAACGGTTTAGCTGAATATTTCATTGGTTGGGTGCACATATGTAGTTTGGAAATTTGGAATTTATAAAATTCTTCTGTCATACATGTGACATTTGCCTTATTTAGTTTAGGGCAGATACATGTAAATTAACATCCCTGAAAACTTGGTTTTCTTATGTTAATTTTACATTTTCTTGATCAGTTTGTTTCAATTTTCATTGTTTGGGTGCACTTTTGCAGTTGGGAATTATAAATTTATTTTCTTATATGCATGACATTTTCCTAATTTTATAGCTGATAATTTAATCTACATAACACTTGGGCTGTCTATTATCTCCTCTTTTGTTTATAGCGGAAATTCTTGTTTGTTACACGTTTTATAGTCAGGTGATCTCTCCCTATTATTATTATTATTATTATTATTATTATTATTATTATTATTATTATTATTATTATTAAATCTATTATGTTTAATGGTCTGATTGACCAAATAACTTCTTTCAATTAATTATTCTTTTTAATTTTATAAATTGTTGGTTCATTTCAACCAAGTCCTTACATAAAAATTATTATTATTATTTTTTTTTTAACTTGAATGGTTTATTGAATACTTCGTTATAAATGTCTTCTTTTCTACAGATGACATTCTTTCTTCTTTGGGGGCTCTGGTGACCAAAGTCTCGCTTTTTTCCATTACGACCAAAAAGAACTATTGCGGAATTGATCCTTTTCTTTATTTCCAAACCTCGACAAATGCATTACCCTTGAAGTAGTTTGGCACTTTTTGGGAATCCTCTTTGCTTATCTCTTAAGGTGTTAATATTGCCTTTCCGAAAATGTTATACTGTTTCTGGTCTAATGCTTTACTCTCACAAAGGGCATGTTGTAATGATATTGTCAACATGTTTCTTTCTGTTTTCCCCCTTTTAATTTAAAAAAAAAAAAAATTTAATTAGTTTTATTTTTGAGGTGTGAATTAAATAGGCAATGGCCTGTGTAAAAGGCCTAATATTTTCTTCAATTTTTGCCTACTGAGAGAAAGCTAGATATTTGTTTTCTTTATTGTGATAAAGACAAGAAACAATCCAGTTTTCAAGTAGATTAATTTACATGTGTTTGGCATAAAATAAATACCATACTTTTATAATTTCCACTTTCATAGATGCACCGTTAAAGTATTCAGATAAACTATTCACAAACATGGAGAATAACAGAAGACAAGAGATGACCCTTGGGCCATTGGTGGCCAACTGGTTAAGGCGTGTAAGATAAAGACTGACACATCACTATAAGATAAAGTTCCTGTTACTAATAAAAATAAAGACAATCTTCATTAAAAACAACAACAAAAAACAGTAGATTAGTATACTAGAATGTGATAAAAGTAGAAACTGTCTGTTAGATGTGTTCCCACCATCTTCAATTCTTTTAAAATTTCACCTAACGTTGAACTAAATTAAACAGACTTCTACTGTCAGATTTGTCCCCGATTCCACATTGATTGAACAACTTTAAAATACAATAATTGGGATACGTGAACTGAATATGTTTTGTTCTTTTTATTCTACTGTTCTACTCTTTTTCAAATTGGGATCTTATAAAGACATCATAGGAGTCCATATGTAAAAAGCATGACTTTTGCCGTTTGATTTTTATATTTTTTTATGTTTGAAATAATACTAATTAAATATTGTATCTTCGGACATTGTGAATAAATTCAGTCAAAACTAACGATCTTTAAACAGTCAGACAATATAAATATTTAAGAGCGTGTCTTACTCATTTGTTATGTCTCAGCCTTTCAGATCCTACAGCTAAATTTATTCCATTTGGGGGATATTGTCTGAATAAGGTCACCACTTCAAGGTTTAATAAATGAATAAAAACAATTTATTGCCGCAAAATACAAAGTACATCGTCAATTAAAATACATAATTTATAAATTGCCTGCATGTAATAGTAATAAAAATTTAGGAACTTCTCCACACTGTAAAAAGCATTCTAAAATAGAAAATCTTTCAAACGACGCTTAAATGAAGGCAAGTTATCATAATTGTTAACATCAGGTGGGAGTCATGTATTATCATACATTTATAAAATACATTTCTACTATTAATTTGCATAATTTTCATTATATAGAAGATATTGTTTGCCCTTTTAATTTCAACCCATGAATATGTGAGTTTTTGACTAGCATTTGTTTGTGCTTAACAGTAAAAATTGTGAAGGATAGAATGTATAAGCAGTATCAGGATTTTTAATTTTTTTAAAAGCTCTCTACATAAGTCGCGATAGCCAGCCCAGGATATAACGCGAATGATTCTTTTTTGAATTAGAAAAACCTTTTTAAGTGTGAGCTATGGCCCCAAAAAATCAGTCAGTAATGATAATAATTTTAAAGATATTTAGTATACATAGTACATTTTAGTACAAGATAATTTTAAACAGGTGTGAACTTCTTAATTTCAATTTTAAACATTGGATGTCTAGATGTGTAAATATAGCTCAAGATGTAATCTCCGAGTGAAAAATTAATATCAGACCCCCATTCTAAAGGTACACAAACTTTGATGAATACAGCTATATCTAAATAAACAAAATAAATTGATCAATTGAAAATATTTGTTGCAAGTTTTTATTGTACTTCCAATATGCTATGGTACAAGTTGGTATAATTTGTACAGGTATGTTTTAAAAGCCATTAGAAGGAGTTATTAAAAGCAGGGTTTATTAATTTTTATAATCGTGGAACAATTTTGTATTGTTAATTTGTCATATCTGTGAAAATTAATTATTAAAAATGTTTAAATTTTTTAAAATATACGAGTGTAATGGCGGATTCATTTTGTTCTTTCCTAATTAAGTTTGTTGTGTTAAGTTCTTTTTTCTTTTCTCTTTATTTTCTAACTAAAAAGCCTACAAAGTACTAAAGTGAATGATTGCTTCCTGTTAGAGTTTAAATCTGGATAATTCATAAATTTGGAAAAGCTTGTTTCACCTAGTATAACAATTTGTCATGTTTATTATGTATTTTGTTTAAAGGTTTCAAGCTCGAAGGAATGGAAATAAATAACTTAATAACACTAATTAATTTTATTAATAAAAGCTTCATAATTTTTTTTCTCTCCCAGGTATGTGTTTGCTCCGTTTGGCACGTCGTTGGGCATCAGGGGTTCCAAGCCGAAGAAAGCCCCTGTAAACGATTATTTGGAAAAAGCCTACAAACAGAACAGCAAGATGAGTCACAAAGAAGTGACGCACATCTCGAAGCAGACGGACCTCAGCCAGAGGCAGATCGAAAGGTGGCTGAGATTAAGGAGGGCGCAGGAAAAGCCGTCCACCCTCACAAAATTTTGTGAAAACAGGTCTATAATATTTCTCTGTCGGCTTTTTAAAAATTCAAGACTGACGGTATGTAATTTTCAGCTGGAGGTGCCTTTACTACACCTATTCCTTCCTTTTTGGCCTCTATTGCCTTTGGGACAAACCTTGGCTTTGGAATATCGATGAGTGTTGGACCAACTATCCTCATCAGGTATTGTATTGTATTTATCTGTCGACTGCATCGCTGATGTCATTCCTCATTTCCTACATGATCACAATGAATACACAATATCCATATTCATTGAAACGAGTTTTTTTTATCTGATCACTAATAGCACTTCCTGGTACAGAAAAAAATGTATACTTTATTTTTTCATCCCCATAAAAAAATTAGTTTTTCATTTTTAGTTTTTTATGTTAATTAAAACTGAAAATACAAATTTATTTTAATAATCAGGCTTCACCTTGCAATGCCCAATATTTAAAAAATTTAAATTTCAAACCAAAATCTCTTTTAAATAGTTCAAAATAAAATGTTCACACAAAAAATGACCAATTTCTTTCCCTAAAATCAAGAGAGTGGAAAAAAGAACCAAACTTGTTCAAAGAATTTCTCTAATTTGACTTGAATTGTATATCAATCGTGGTTAATAGTCGTATATTAACCCAAATGCCATCGTAGCCTAGAATTATGAATTACTTAGCGTTTTTCATTACTTACAAATAAATTGTCTTGGACATTAACTATGAAACAGTACAGGAGTATTTATTGATTCAAAATATTTATTAATGTTTATTACACATTAACCCTTACAATAATCACTACGTGGTTAGTTTTCATTGTGTACATTCGATGAATCATACGTTTTGTTATCATTACACAAATTTTAAACACGTATTGCTAGCAGGAATTTGAACAATTTAATTTAAACAAATATATCTCGTTGAACTATATTTTGAGAATTTCTTAGTTATTGGCATGTTTGAAGTTGAATTTTTTCCTTTTGTAAATGTGAGTAAAATGTGTAAACTCGTGAAAAGAGATAGTGCCCCACATTGCCCATAGATAAAAGGTCATTTTATCTCTCAATGTGTAATTTTTCCTCCACTCCTTTCATCAACAACGTGGGGTCTACCTTATTTACCAATTGTGCTTTCTGGTCATGTAATAGCTTTAGAAATCTTTTTTAAGCCGGTAAAGAAATGGGATGCTAACAAAATACAAGATCCACACTGAAAAACTGAAATAATCACTCTTTATCCGTCCTCAAAAGCCAAATAGATGGACAGCGTCATGCTTATTACAATAATAAAGCAATATTAATTAAATTTAGTAGATTGGGTTTGTTTTTAATATTTAAATAATTGATTTTTGCCTAAGCATTAAATTGTTTAATATGAAGTGTTGTAAAAAAAGGCTAACATAAGACTAAAAAGGCTAATTAAGTCAATTTCATAAAAAAATTAATGATTTATATAAATAAACAATCCAAATAAAATAAGATTACAAAATTTGTAATAATAATTATTTTTTATATATTTTTAATTTCCCGTTTAGAGTTGAATGTTGGTCAAAATTATATTCTATTCTTTACAGTCTTTTTGGTGAATAAATAGAGTGAAAGCTTGCCACAATGTTGCCAGACGGGGATTGATTATCTCAAGATAATAATCAACACCATTCGCTCGGAAAATCAATAACTGTCAGTCCTTCATCGTTCATTAATTCACCTGGCCTAAAATATGAAATTAATGAAAATTTATGATTTCTTGTCGAGTAGAAAATATCTTTTTGTCACGAAATTATAGCTATAGCTGATTAATATTTGTGTCTTAAGGCAGTGAAAACGCACTGAAGGTGATACATAAATAAATTAATATTGATAATTTTGTTTTTGCTTTGCCTTTAGGGCATACCACAATAGAACCATCAAGCAAATAAGTAACTAAATAAATAAAAGAAAATTAAATATAAATAAATAATCTACCAAATAAATAACCAACTAACTCAGACACATGAATAAATAATCAAATAAATAACCAAGAACAATAAACATGCTTACAATCAAAGAATAAGTGAATCAAAAAGTAGATAGGCTTGCCAGATGGGGACGAGCCTACCATTATCACTGTTCGGGGAAACTCTTGCCCATGTTAATATTCATAATCGATTAAAAAATAAAAGTTTAGTATCAAGAGCACTGTTTATAGGAGGATTTGATTCTAGAAGGACCTCATCCGATTAAGGATAGGTTGGCACACAGACACTTACTTTTTGGTCAAAACCCCTGCATAGAGAAAGGTTGCACTATTTGACTCAGCTAGTTGAAGATGCAATTTTTTGGCTCCATATAGAGAGCGTGTAGAAATGCCACTCCATATAACGTGCTTGAGCATGGCAGTGAGTATCCTGGGGGTCCCCATTCTGATTTTTGGAGGATACAGGTTGTATTTAATACTGAATAGTTTTGTGCCATTGGTGTGGGTTGAGAGTGAATGTATTTATTAGCATAAATGTAGTGTGAGAAGGCTAATGACAGAATGTTGAGTACCCCATCGATCCTCAATAATTTTAGTTATATAATAGGTGTAAAGAGTGACGGAGGACTATCGCAACTTCACCACCTTAACTGAGTGGTATGTAAATAAGAAAGAACGTATTTAAGAGTGAGTGAGAGAGTGAATGGGGTTTTTAGGAATTTATTGAGTTGGGGTGTGAAATGACCTAGCTGTTGGCTGTCCCTGGAGCCCTACCTTGGCAGCCGGACAGATAAGACCGAGGTCTGACCTCTGACTGCCAACACCTGGGGTGGGTGATTCTCCATGCCTGGCAGTAATTTATTATAATTTACAAAAGCTGGACTGCGAGAAGCAATAGGCTCAACTCTGTACATGTGTGTGCAGATTTGAGTTATATATATAAATCAGTAATAATAGTAATAAATCAGTAGTAATAATAGTAAAGTTATTAGATTTCTCTGCCTGGTTGTGGGGTGATGAACCTGAATTTTGATGAAAATGATCAGTAATGACCGAATTTCAGAAATATAGTTTATACAATTTTATGAGATTAATTTCAAGATTCGAGGCGTCAAAGTTATATCTTATAGTTTTTCTTTTCTTTTTATTTATATATTTATGCTTTACCATAGTCATTAGATAAATTAAGTAGATAAAAATAAGGCTCAGCCGTTATTGGAAAATGTGGGAAAAGTCTTAAGTTTAATTGAATACTTAACAATTCATTTACTTTCTCTTTTAATAATTACACACATTTTCCACCATTGACTTTTTTTATCTCAACTAAAAACCTTAATTAATTGTAATATATTAATTGGTCAAACGGACCACGGAATTAGTGAATTTAATGATTTGAAATGAAGTATACTTCACTAAAGCTCTCCGTGGCCATTTCATTTGTTGTCGAGAATCCAATCCGATTACACGAAATTTGAAAAATGGCAAAAAGGAGGGAAAATTCAAAAGGTGCGATTGAGATGGGAAGTTGGTGTCTGAGTGAATCGAGGTCACAATAGCTCAAGTGGTAGAGCAGCGGCGTATCAAGCCGAAGATCGTGGGTTCAAATCCCGCTCGTTCCATTGACTTTTTTAGCTCAACTAAAAACCTTAATTAATTGTAATATTAATTGGTCAAGCGGACCACGACATTAGTGAATTTATTTATTTATTTTTATTTGGGGGGGGGGTCAACTATGAGGTCATATCAACTCTCATGCTTCCGGTGTTTTTGGAAAAAAAAGATCATTTGTATTTTGGGTTTGTATTCAGGCTACTGATATTTGAACCGGGGACTCTTCCAATGATGAACCTTGTATCATTGTATCAGGTCATTGGTGTGACACAAATAATTTTCAAATAAAAGTTAAAGGGCTATGACTGGATTCCATTTCAGAACCGCTAGGACTGCAAATTTGAGTCAGACACCTTAACCACTCAGCCGCTCGGTCTCCCTGGTAAAGTATTTATATTCCTCGTTGTTTTCTTATCCATAATCATATACAGTCGACTCTTGATAAGTCGAAACCCAAGTGACTACAAAAATAATTCAAATTGTTAATTGAAATAGAGTCAATTGGAGAGTGAATTAACAAGATGTTCAATGTGTGATGATTAGTGACGGTTAATCGATAATTATTCAGAAATCGTGAGATGTGGACTGGTGTGATGTAGGTTTCAGAAAAACATTTTCTTTATCGTGCCAACGTTTCGATCTTTATTGAGATCATCTTCAGGGCCTGGAATTTACAAACATTGTTTACATTTAACAAATACATTTAGGATGTGGAAAAGTGAATTTATACAATGCAAAATATATTTTATATATTCAATCAAAGATGTTCAATTATCAACAGGAAAGGGAAAAATTCAAATTATTAAAAGTTACTATTTATTTTTAAAAATTCTTACTTAAATTGTACTTACACTTATAAAGCAACTTAAAAATAATGAAAAATTAGAAATAGATCATGAACATTATATATTTGATTTTTAAAATCCGATCAGAGATGACAACACATTAATAGCTGCAGTTTTCAAAGTTCTTTTTTCTTACCATGTATTAAACTTGTTTTTGTATGGGTCATATGTATCCAAAAACTTGTCCTCATACTTCTGAAGTTGTTTGCTCAACACTGTAAATTCTCCATTTTTATCTCACGATTAATATGTGCACCCAGCATGAAGGGACTTTCCACAATCATTCATATTTCAAAGAAATATTTTCTGTCAAAATCATTTGCCGAGACAATTTTGAGAGGAACGTTTCACCACTGTGCACGATCATCATAACTATGGCAACATGCTTTGGTGTGGCCACCAAACACGCAGGCATTAGGTAGCAGGTGACTAGGCACCAAGCAGAATGCTTCCAGTGTGACCTTAGCCTAAATGATTTTCCAAAGAGACCTTTGCTGAGAGCACATTGACCAAACACTGACCGCTAAACATAACAATCTAGAGAAAAATTGAAGAAACTGGGCTGCAAAGGAAACATGGAAAGTTAGAGGAACACAAGGAAAAAGTTTGAAATTATAAAGAGGGGAAGTGGATCCATTTCAATTTATAGAATGCTTCCCCCTTGATATGAACATATTTTGTATTACTGAGTGTATTAAAATAAACAGAATTCTGTCGACTTAACACCTTAATCAGTTTTTAATATATATATTAATTTTTATGCAAAGATGATGCCATGATGTTTGAATATTGGCTGAAAAAGAGGGAAAATATAAATAGTTGTCAGTTGAGATGAGGAGTTAAGATAACTCGGGTGGTAAAGCACCCGGATGTCGTGGGTTCGAGTTCTACTCATGACTTAAATTTTCATCTTAACCTTCTTTGCATAAAAATTAATTTATATTCTTTCTTACTACTCTTATGTATTATTATTTTTTATAATTTGTATTCATTCGTTGTTGTTTCAGAGTGTTACAAATGATACATGGTGGTATTACATGATATCACTGTCTTTCTACTGGTCTCTCACCGTCTCGCAGTTCAGGGATGTGAAGCGAAAGGATTTCTGGCAAATGTTCGTCCACCACATTGCCACCATTCTTCTCATGGCGTTCTCTTGGGTCTGCAATCTTGAGAGGGTCGGAACGCTTGTTTTGCTTGTTCATGACTGTGCTGACATTTTCCTCGAGGTGATTGTCACAAAAAAATACACACGGGGGAAAAAAGGTTGAAACTTTTTTTTGTTTTGGTTGCAGGCTGCCAAAATGGCTAAGTATGCCAAGTACCAGAAAATTTGTGATACACTCTTTGCCATTTTCACTGTATTATGGCTTGTTACTAGAATAGGAATTTACCCATGTTGGATCCTATACAGGTATCTTTGTACAGAAACTTTTAAGTTTGTTTTTGTACTTACCCTTGTTTTTTTTTGTTACAGCACAACAGTTCGTGCTCCTAGGATTGTTAACACTATGTTTCCAGCTTATTACATATTTAACGGACTCTTATGTTTACTCCTTGCACTCCATATATTTTGGACTCACCTCATTCTTAAAATAGCTTATAATGCAATTTCGGCTGGACAGGTAACGAAGTTTTAAAAACGTATGTGTTCATAGTTTAATTTTATATTTTATGTTCACAGATGGAGGGAGATATACGTAGTTCATCAAGTGAAGATCTTTCCGATGCTTCGACCAACTCTCAAGCTAACAACGTTGTTAAAAAGATGCAGTGAACGTGTGCGGTTTGCCTTGTTGCCTTGTCCATTCCACATAATGTTCTCGTGTATATAATGTTATATACATCTGTTTTATATGTATATTGGAAGTTAAAGGAAAGAAAATTTTAGATCGGATTTTTTGTTGTTGAACATGTATATATATACCAAAGATCTTTGAATAAGGAAAAAAAAATAAATTGGAAATCCTCACTTGTTTTCATTCAAATTAATAAAGTGTACGTGATATAGATACTTCTTTTTCTTTTTTAATTTTATAAGTGGGGTTTGAAAAACCTAAAAACGGTATTAGACTTTCTTTTTTTTTTAAATGTGACTAACGTATGTGTTATTGAGTGTTCGTAAAATATAAATTTGGGAACAACTTACACTAAAAAATAAGAATGGAGAAGAAATGATTTTTTTTCTGTCAGCTTACAAATTAAATTTACAACTTATATTCATAATTTTTTGGAATGTATTTTTCTCCTCTGCACTGTGTTGGTTTGGAATTCAACTTTGGCGCCGAGAGTGTACATAAGTGTACTGCTTAAATGTTTTACCACATATCTTTTTTGTTTTTGTTTTTGTGAGTAGAAGTTTTTGCAAAATCAATGAATGATTCAGACAAAGTGGATTATTCTTTATATATTTTTTTTTAAATTGTACAATTGAAGACTGAGGATAGGAACTTTGAATCGATAGGTGCAATAAAATACAAATATGCAGGATATATATGCTAGCGATGAACTTTATATTGTCATAAATATCCTGCATTATTTGTTTCCGTATATTTTCAAATTTTGTTAATAACATAGGTATCAAAAGCTAGTTAATTACAGTTTGTTTTCTTCCTAAAATTTCTTATTTTTAAGTACTATAAAATGTAATAAATAATCTATTAACAAATGCACTCTAGCAGAACTTTTTTCTCTCTAACATCTAAAAAAAAAATTAGTGCATCAGTTTTGTTTTTGCAATGGAAGCTTTGGAGCTGGTTCATCTTTTAACCAAGCCTTATATGCGAGCGTTGCATTATGCGTGGGCACATCCCGGGTGGTGTGAGGACTTTTTTTGCGAACCCGTATTTTGAAATCTTCTTGTCGAACGTTTCTGGTGTCATTATATTCCTGTAAAGAAAAATTGTAAATTGTAACTTCTGTCGATTGAACAGCAGACAAATTGTTTTCGTCTTCTAGAATTTTTGAAAAGGTGTTACTACTTTGACTTTAAAAATGCCTTCTAAAAGCTTCCTTATATCTTTTTGAGGATATTTATTTAATTTCTGTTTAACAATTTTCTGTTGGTTTTTATTATATAAAAAATATAGCTTATACAAATTTGTACTTTTTTTTATTTTAGCCTTTCCTTCCTGTATTTAAATGTATATAAATATTTATATTTTGCAATTAGCAAGTAAGCACAGATAGGTACATAAAAAAAAGAAAAAAAATTAATAAGTATCATGCTAAAGATCAATTTTTTAAGTTTTGTATTTTCAAACAAAAGTTTTTAAAATATTTTTTTTTTGGAGATTTGCTATTATGCGGTCATATTAACCCCCTGGGGTTTGATTTTTTTTCTAAAACAATAAAAACATGCTTTCTCAGTTGGAAGTACTATGGCTTCAAATTCAGGTTGTACTTTCCATTTCTTAAATTTATTTTTTTTAGATAATTAAATCGATAATTACTAAAAATTGTTATTCATTAAAAAATATTGTTCTAAATATATATTTGCCTCTGTCCTGGGCTACTTCTCATTTAACAGAGGACTTATTTTTAATCCATTGTCTAATGGATCAGCATTTTTGGTATGCTACAAAAGTGTTCAGAGCCAATAGGTGTCCTCATTGAGCTTTCTTTGGAATTTGTCGGCTTATTCATTGCCCCTCTGTGTGCCCTGGCACCCAGATAAGGGTAATTTTGTTATTTTCCCCAATGTCTGACAGGGCTCTGATGCAGTCCCAAACGACTGGACTTTACTGCCAATCAATTGTCCAGGAGGACTTAACGCTGGGTCAGAACCTCTACAATACTATTCAATTAATTGCAATTAAAATTTCAAAGGTTATATTGGGATACGAACCCAGAAACGCTAGTGTGGCAAATATGAGTCAAATGACCTAACCATTTGGCCACCGCGGCCCCTTAAAATTGACCTCCAAAAAGATTGGGATAATTAACTTTAAAGTATATAAACTTGTATATATGTACTTAAAAACAATCCTGAATTGTCGCCAAAATTCCAGAAAATACAAAAATAGTGTTGGCATTATTAATAAAATAGTTTTCTAATATGCTTATTTTAAAAAAGAAAATGATTGATCTTTTATATATTTTAAGATAATACAAATATTTGATAAATTTATTTACCTAATTTGTTCTTTTATTTCGGAAACTGTATGTGCTCGGCTTTTTGATTCACAAATGACCCTTTCTTTTTCTTGGTGGAGAACTTGTATTTTTTTATTTTTGTTTTCTATCTCTCTTCGCAATAATTCAGCTTTTAGATCTTCTTCCTGTTTAACCCTGTAAAAAAATGAGACAGAAATAAATTTTAAAAAATAATTGAAAATAGCAAGCCGTACTTGTTGATGTTCATTGTATGCAGGATTTCTTTGTTTCTCTGTTTTTGCTGCAGCCTTTCAACTTTGACCTCAATCCCTTTGGCGACTTGCTCCTGTGCTCTTTCCGAGTCCAACCATTGCAGAAGAAGAATTCTGTCTTGCCAACGCTCCATACCTTCTTCTATCTGCCTCTGAACCCTTTTGACATCTTGTTCCTTTATTTCTCGGTCTATGCTAAAGCACACACAAAAAAAATCTCAGAGGTAATATTGATTTTTTTTTAACTAGTCCTATTTACCTATTTTCAATCACTTGTTTGTACTTGTACAGACAATATTCAGGATCGGAATATTGCAATTTGATGTTGTCCAGGTGTTTTCTGTGTTCTGACGTTCTCGCCCTTTTCTTCTCTTTGGATTTTTTCCTAGAAGACCCTGGCCTGGAAGAAGGCTTGTCGGTAAGTTTGACATCATGGTTGTTGTTAATGTCCTCGAATACTATTTCATTCTTTTTTGTTATGTTTGGCAAATAATCTGCTGAATAATTCATCTATAAAAAAAAAAATAAAAAAAAATGGATTAATATATTTTACAATTTATGAAATAAAAAATTTGCTATAATAAATTATTAAATTAAATCTGTAGCCTGATGGTTTTTGATCGTGCTGATCTGCCTCAGTTCTGGCTGGTTTGTCTGTCGGAATATTTCGCCATCAGCAATGTGACAATAAACCTGTGACAATAGCCCGATCAGGATGATCAGAGATCATCATTTCACAAAAACCAATCCTAATTTTACTATTTAATTTTACAATATAAAAAATACAAGATGTATAATGCAGTTATCATATTTATAACTAATACCAGCTATAAAATTTTGATTTTATGTTTTTTATTAATTAATTATATAATAATATAACAGACCTGTTCCTTCGAGCTTAAGTTACTATTCAAGTTTAGTTTTTCCAGTGAACTTTTCACTAAATTTTCATAGCTTTTCTCACTCTGTTTTTCTTCATTTTCACCATTACAGGAAATGAGTTCTGAATCATGAAAATCCTGAGCCGTATGTGATCTGGTTTGGGACTTTTGCTTTTTGAATTTTGGCAAATATTCATTTTGTTTTTTTGAAACCTTGAATCACGATATAAATGGCATATTTAAATTTTAAAATTTGATGGTTTGTCGGAAAATTTTACCTTTTCTGCTGTCGGGCGTGTGACCTCGATAATAGAATCTTTTTCATTATTAAATTTTTCTATATTGTTCACTTTGTGCTTATTGATTTCCACACAGAGAGCCTAAAACATAAAATTCACCGAATTTATAACAGTTTAGACGCTGTTTATAATTATAATATTATTATACCTTTTGCGCATTTTTAAAATTTTCCTGACACTCTGGTGACTTCTTCAGACAGTCTGTACCTAATAAAATTACATCAATTAAAAAAAAAATAAATAAAAGAATAATTTATTGATTTAAACCCACATGGAAGTTGTGGAAGTTCTTTTTGAAGTTTTGGAGAATTTTTTCCACTTGTGCATCCATCTTTTGTACTCGGCCTTTTTGAATTGTACCCCTTTATTAAAAGTTCATTCCTTATTCTGCGACAAATACCAAGCTTCCCTGAAGTGATTTATTTACACATTGAAATAAATATTAGATAAGTTGCTAAGTACTGCATAAAGTTTAAAAAATAAGTGGATTAAATAAATTGAAATGTATTACTTTGTCTTTCTTTTTCGTGTAAATTGTATTTTTCCTGTACTTCTTCCTTGTTTTCAAGCTCTTTCTCAACATCTTTTAAACTTTTATAAAGCAGATCTACCGGCTGAAAAAATTGCCTAGTGTAATAATGAAACCCAAGGCTGTAATAGTGATTCACCTTAATTCCTGCCTTTCTGCAAGCTTTTAGTGACCTCGGGCTGGTCAGCACATATTTACAATGCTTAGACGGAGGCAACTCAAAATTCAAAAGGTTCAAATTGGGCAAGCTCATTTGAGTTGGTTTTCACATTTTCTTGTACGGCTTTTTTGACCCACTCCTGTTTACGTCAGTTGCCAAGGTTAATCTGGTCAATCAATAGAGCGAAAGACCATATCTGGGCCTATTGACTGAGATACAGAAACCCATATTCTCGTCATGTTCTCTCAATTTATCATTAGCTTAACACTTCCAAAAATCATTAGACTTAATTAATCTACCATCGTTTACTATCGTCGAACCAATTTTCAATTTTTTGGTGGACCAGGGATTGATTACCACATTTGTACATTTTATATTTGTGTTCATTCACTTATGTATATACTCATTATTGTTAAAGGTGGTAGTTCAGAAATAAATTAACAAAGTTTAATCAGATCCAAGTGAATATAACTACAGATTTACCAAATTTGAGAACCACATATGAAATATTTAATATATTAGTTAACTTTAATTAGGCTATGTAAATTATAACAAAATTCTATCATTTTTGTTGTTGTTCTTGTTAAAAAAAAACCTATAATTAGATTCACTCTTTTAAACAAAATATGTAAACACATGCAGTTTACTTTTATTTAGATGGCTAGCTGCTAGAAGGACTGTTTACAAAAAATTTAAAAATGAGATTAGATCATATTTAAGTAGGGACACGAATACAAAACAGTATTCATTACAGCCCATGTTCGTACAAGTTAGTCTGATCAATGAATCGTCTAGAACTTAGAAAAATGTAAAAAAATTTTTACTTCAACAAGACAAAGCAAGGACCACTTAAAAACTAGAGTTTGAACTACACTCTTACCAAGCATACAGTTCTGATCTGGATTTTTCACTCAACAACTTACTTAGTCCAAACCTCTCTTAACAGGGTAGTTAAAAAAGGTAAAATTAAAAAAAGTTAAGTTTTTGTCCTTAAGAGCCATCATGGTAGTTGAGAGTACAAAACGGCAGCCAATATTCCAAGGAATAATTGCAGGCATTGTTATTATTATTAATTTTTAAAGGTGTTTTAACGTGCAGGCATTGTTATTTCAGAAATTGTTGAAATAAATATTTATTATTTATATTAATATTTAGTATTTTTTATTGGTAATTTCGAATTATTTTACACCCTTTTAAACTTTAAAAAATTAAAATGTTAACTATTAAAGTGTCTGATTTCTCCCTGTAGTCATCAGGTTGATGAACTGTAATTTGGTCATATTCAACCAATTTTGGTCTGCCTGTCAGATGAGTTTGACGACTTAAGATCCAGACCACTGAAGATGGAGAAAAGCAGACTAACGAGCAAGGATTGATAGACCAAAAAAGGATTGGTAATGACCAAATTACAGCTATTAAATTATATTACTGATATAAAATAAAATAAATTATATTATTGTGCATCCAATGAATGATTTTAAAAATACCTATTAGATTTTATAAAATTTATAATGATGAATGTTTGCATTGCTTTTTATTTATTTATTTTATTTGTTTGCTCCCGGCTGGCTAACTGCTGTATCCTCACACTATGTCTATCTGACAATTTTTAATTTTTATTACCCCTAACTTGGATGTTTAACACATTCATACTAATAAAAAAAGATTACTTAATTAATTTTGGTGCAAGAGTTCTCGATATGTTGGTGGAACCCCACTCTACAACTACGATAAAATTATGTACAACCTAAGCCCTTCTGTTGGAGGCTGGCAAGGATTTTTCCCTTGATGCCCTGCCTCCATTCACACTAATAAATACATTCACACAAAGTAAAAAATCACACATTTATATATTAAGTTAACCTAATCGATTAGACAGGTACTCAATATTACACACAGACTGTGCCATACATATTAACCACTCATGTAAATAATACATTCACACAATGGGATAATCTGCAGGGTTTATATTATACCCGTGACTACCTACCTCCCGTTCACACTACAAATATATATTCAACTAAATAACCTAGACTACTTGGTGTGCCTGTGGGTAATCACAATTCCATCACATCACATCCAATATTCACACTAATAAATACATTTGCTCAATTTAAAGATATCATTTAATCCAAAGTGTGAAATGGCTCCCTATATGTAACCAAACCAGGTGTAAAATATTATGCTTTCACACACTAGCATTTAAACAAGTAGCAATCCGTGTTATATAAAAAATTCAAATATTAAATCTTTATTATGTATTTGCAACTTTAAAAGTTTTAAAATATTAATGGAAATAGTAGTAGAGAAATTTATGACAACCCTCCTTTAAGAAGGACTTATCTACGCACTGTCACGTAGAAGGTCACTAGAACACTTTCACTTCATGTGTCGAGGATGATTGTCAGATAGAGTGTAAGAGGATAACTGTTGGCCTAGAAGATTAGGATAGGGGTAGGATGATTGATGGCATATTTTTTTTTCTTCTGCAGGATTTTCATAGGTCAAGGGCAAACGTGACAGATTATGTATTGTATGATTTGGACTCAGTTCGAGTGTTATTTTAGGCTATAGGACTTATAATAAAAAAATGTCAAAAAATGAAATGTTTGGTCATAAAATATATATAATCAAAATTTAAAGTTATGAAACAAACAACTTATATTGCAAATAAATACAAACTTTGAATGTATTCCTACATAATTATTTAAAAAGAATTAATGAAAAATAAATTTAAGTGTCCCAGAAAATGGGTAAATGTAAAATTTAGATAATGCTATAATTTTCTTTACTTCTTTTTTTATATTTGTTTTCGTTGATTGTATTTTCTTATCCAGTATGTGATAGGAGTATGCTTGTTGAACTTTCAACCCTTTTTTTTTTATCAAAACAATTTAATTGAAATTTTCAAGACCACACAAGTCTCATCCTCAGCAAATTTTCATGTGGAGTGCTATTAGAAATTCCAATTGAAAATTTTAATTTATATTTAAGTGTATTCCTGCTGATTATTTTGAATTATATTTTTTTACTTGAAGTATAACTGCCTATACCTATTAAAGAATCTCCAGTGCTTTGTGCTTTTCACCAACTATTCTTTAAAACAGTATTTGGCAAAGTGGCCATCTTCATTTTCCATAATTTTTTATTTTCCTCGCACCCAGCGGAAATTCATCCAAATTTCTGCTTTGCAATTTACAATCAACTTTGCTTGTCTTTCCATTTGAATTTTAGTGTGGTACTTCTGTATTCTAAGAAATATGAAATGGCTGAAATTTAGGATTAATTTTTATTGTTTTATATATTAAAACCTGTATTTTCAAATTTTACTAATTAAACAATTACACCATGATTACATATTATGATATTTCATATGGTCTGCATGATGTAAAACTTACAGTTTGATCTTTTCTTGGTAGTAGTCTGCATATTATGAACTATGTGTCTTCATCCTATTAAAACCTGTATTTTCAAATTTTATTTTAAACTTGCAATTGAGCAGTTACTGAATTATAATTATCATGAGATTTCTTGTTAATTCAAACCAAAGAATTATTCTTTGACTCCACACTATCATAAATGGGGGGGGGGAAACATTTATTGTTGTGGTCTACAGAGTAGTTGTAGTTTGGTCTTTTCCTGATCCTGATCTGCATATTTTTGCCACCACTGATGATGCCAAATACAATTTAATATTGCATAATTAAACATAGGTTGAGCCAGGGTTCTGGGCTGTTTTCCTCGTCTTAGTAAGAAAATTTTAGATAATATAAATATGTAGAAAAGAAAATCAAGAAAATGTAAATGTGCAAGGGGAAACCAGCAAGGGAAGACCTTTTGTTTTAGGTTTCAAAATGAAAATATTGTTCCTTTGAAAACTGACCAGCGGTCTCGCCTGAAGGAAAGATCGTTGGGAGGTAATTTTATCCCATTTATTTGCAGACTCTTAGATATAGGAATTCGATTAACTTAAAGCGTTTGTCCGCCGGTATGGGGTCTTCCTCAGGTACGGTGGGGTGGTGGAAAGGGGGAAAAAAGCCAAATACCATCTCTTGGAGTGTTAACTATCTCTCTATTCTCTTTTTAGGGTGATTCTAGCTTTCTGTTTGAGTTTCATACAAAAACTTTGAATTTCTAAATTCCCAAATGTATTAAATGGCTGAAAATTTACGCTTAATTTTTTGTTTTCTGCCTTAAAACCTGTATTTTTAAAATTTACTTTAGACTTTTGAGTAATTGAGTAGTTACATCATGATTACAATTAGATTTCTTGTTGAGGCCTGCTGGATAAAGAATTTGTAGTTTAGTGTTTTTCTGATCCTGGTCCGCATATTCTTGCACTTTGAACCCACCACTGATGATGGCAAAATGCCAAATACCATGCGACAAACCAAAACTGTGATAATACTCGGAATATGTAATGTTCAATTTTAAACATAGACATGAATTAAAATGTAAAAGATTTTTACCTTTTTATTAGATTGTTTTTTTGTACCCAAAAATCTTTAGCGTTTCAGACAGAGTATGATGTACCAGCACAACGCTTTGCATTTGTTCGATCAAAAACTATTAAATTAGTGATAATAAAGTGCGAATTAGTTTATTTTGAAATATATTTTGTACTAAATTGTTATGTAATGTTCAGCATAGGGTGTGACCATTTGAAAAATCGAATATACCGCCTTTTTTTTTTTACAATGGTGCAGTCATGTAGCGCATGGGAGGTTTGCCCTGTTGGGAGGTTGTTCTGATGTTTTGGTACTTTGGTATTATCAGTTTTGTTGTTTTTGTTGTTGGGTTTCTCCCAAAATCTCTACATCTAGAATCTAAATGCTAGTTCAGCACGGGCAAATAATTTTCCCCTGAGAGACCTCCAACATGAACAAATATCTCAATGAGATTCTGCAAAAGTAAGTTTTGATTTTTGACTGCATTTTCCAAGTTGAATTTAAAAAAATAAAGGATTTGTCAGCGATGATGTGATAATCCCGCCTGTTGGGGTGATTCATCGGTGATGAGAGAACAATACTTCATCGTTATTTATAAGAAAATGATCAGAGCTGTCTGATTTTTATTAGTCGTTATAATTAAATATTTGATATCACTTTTCTAGATTGCAGTGGGAAAATAAGTTAAAATATGACTGGTTAAATTTTAAATTTTTAAATAGGTGTTTTCTTGTTTATTTTTAAACCACAAAATAAAAATGAATCATCAGCGATGGTGTTTTACTTGCTGCATTACTCAGCGCAGATAATTTTAGTCAACATGTGCAGTAAATATGCTAGCGATAACTGGGTGAGGGATTTCTATGGTGCATTTATTAGCACCTATAACCAATAATAAGTTTATTGTCTCTTATTATTAACCAAAAATGTGCATATGTTACTCTAAGTCTACCTACATATTTACAAATGGAAATTAGCATTATTATTGTATGTCATCATTATAAACAGTTTTACTCTTTATACAATTAATTAAGGTTTTTGGTTGAGATAAAAAAGTCAGTGGCACTAGCGGGATTTGAACCCACAATCTTGATACGCCGCTGCTCTACCACTTGAGCTATCGTGACGACCCACTCGGACACCAACTTCCCATCTCAACCGCACCTTTTGAATTTTCCCTCCTTTTTGCCATGTTTCAATGCGGCGTATCAAGCCGAAGATCATGGGTTCGAATCCCACTCGTGCCATTGACTTTTTTTTATCTCAACTAAAAACCTTAATTAATTGTAATATATTAATTGGTCAAGCGGACCACGAAATTAGTGAATTTAATCTTTATACAATGTTTATTTTTGCAGGGTTGTAGGATTGGAAGGCATAGTCATAGCTGACAGGGATGGCGTACCGATTGTTAAAGGTTGGTATCATATTGCATTGCTCTTTTTTACTTTTAGAAATTTTATATTTATGTTTTATGATTTTTAGCGTCAATGGAGACAATACCAGACACAGCTTTGATGTCCAGTTTTCTTTCGACTTTTGGCCTGACTTCTCATCAAGGCGGAAAATTGGGGATGGGCGAAAATAACACTATTATTTGTATTTATTCAACTTACCAGGTCTGATTTAATCATTTTATTTTTTGAGTTATAAGGGCGAGTTTAAAAAATTAATGACAAAATGTATACAAAAATTCAATGTGGCGTTACAAGCCTTCAAAGGCTCAGGATGTCTGACTCTAGTCGTGGTGTTTAGTGACCATTAATTAATGATTATTTGGAGATTGTTAGATGCAGTCTGGTGGGACGTAGGTTTAGAAAATCATTTTCTTTTTCGTGCCACCTTTATTGAAATTGAAACGTTGGCATGATAAAGAAAATGTTTTTCTAAACCTATGTCACACCAGACTGCATCTCACGATCTCACAATAATCTAGTCAATATGATGCTCTCAGGTTTTTTTTTTTTTTTAAATTTTGAATTGAGTTGAATTATGAGTCAGTTGGTGTACGGAAAGAGTTTTATTTCAAAAGGACTAAAGGAATTGATGCTACTGCACCCACCTCTTAGTTTTGATTTTTCTCATTCAGACCTCTTCTGAGCAATGCATAAAAAATGAAAAACATTAGAATGGCATAAAAAATAGATTGTGAGATTTGATGTGGCCTGCAGGGTAATGAACTTGTAATTTGGTTATTACCGATCACCATTACCGTCTGAGATGTTAAAGATGGCAATATGCCAAACGTATTTGACATACCGACCCAGTAAGGCATCCATAAGTAGAGCAAAATGATCGATCACGACTAAAATAAAAACTGGAGTTGAAACTTTTTTTTTTCATTAAAAATTCAACAATTAACTATATGATTGAATTCATGTTCTTAATGCATCAAACAAAAAATAATGGAATTTTAACACCTTTTTTTGGACTCACCTTAATTAATAATGAAAAAAATAATAAAATTTCATTAACAAAATTTAGTAAATTAGTAATTTGTGAAATTCATGTGTTAATATAATTTTATTTTATATTGCAGGTAGTTCAGATGGACTTGCTCGGCATGATAGTCACATTTATAGGAAACAAGAACTGCAACACTGGTCATATTCTTTCAATACAAAAAGAACTGAACCCTATAATAAATGACTTAACAAAAGTTCTCACAACAGATTTTTAATTAATGTTACGTTTAATGTATTTAAGAAAGTGTACAGAATATATTTTTTACGATGGAGATAGTTTATCTTTAGTATTCGTAAAGATGTTTATATCATTGCCAAATATATGTCTATAATTAAATCGAATTAATGGATAAGCATATATTTTTATTTTGTTGTTTGCAGCTTGCGTTTATTTCTTATTTCTTCTTTTCTGATTAATATGTTAACCATTTATTTATTTGTCGATAATCATTTAAAAATAAAATGCAAAATGCATTGTATTTATATTATTTAATTAATACTAGTCTTCTGGAACAGTGAAAAAGCTCTTTAATCTAGTTGATAATAATAGTGTACATTTGTTTTTATTATTATTAATTTTTCTCACTGTCTCTCATATTTTTTCTTCTGTTTTCTTTACTTGCCGACCTGTTACCTCATGCCAAATTATTAACAAAAGAACAAGAAGATAAAGATTAATACCAACAAAGATTTCAAGCCTCCCCAAAAGCATCGCTAGCAATGGGAGGCCTGTTTGAAACCTAGACAGTGTTTCGAGGCTCCACAATGAGACAATTATATCGTCAGGTATAATAAACAATCAAATAAAATCAGTTATAATAAAATTTATTATATTCTTTAAATTTTTTGAATGAATAAGATCAATAGAGAGAGAAAAAATACGATATTATTAAAAAAACTATATGCTAATTTGTCATGTTATAGTGATATAAAACAACACAACCTCTTTTATTTTCACTTTTTATTGCCAATACTTATTTCGGGTCCAATACTATTATGTTCGAGCTCCAAACAAGCCTTGAAAACGGGTACTTGCATTGGACCCGAAATATGCATTGACACAGAAATCAAAAGGAAAGGAGGTTGTGAAATTTAATAAATATCCCCAGACTTGATGAATTAGTATACAGCTACCAAAATAAAATGAGTTTCATTTTAGTTACATGATTTGGGTATATGTGTGTTGAGATATATCTACCACCCTTACAGAGTCAGGTGTATGCAGAGAAAAATGTATCAGCGAATGAAAAATGATTTGCTTACAATCTGCATGTGCTATGGAATGAAATGACAGTCAGAAATGCCCTATGGCTTAACTCTGGTAGGCTGGATAAACAAGAACACATAGGCAAATATTGATTCTTTAAAAATTCTTGTCCTGGCGATTTAACATCATCTGCCACAAACTTGATAAATGTGTAACAGAAAAGACCCGACACTGTGTTCGGACCAAGAAATGTGCATTTCACTTTAGAAAAAATTGAGTACCTTATTCGATGCCACTTATAATGGCAGAGCATCAATAATTGTTCTATATCACTGATTAATTGACACATCGAACACACTGGGTATTGATAGAACTCACACTCTCCCCTTTTACTCCTGAGATAAAAAAAATCTAAAAAAAATTGAGAACTGGACTATCAACTTGAATACACCATTTCTTAAGTTCCTGTGGATCGACTTTCAAATCGTTTATTTTTTAATACCTATAAGTGTTTTATTTTTTATTAATTCAATATATTTTAAGATTAAAAACCAATAAAAAAAAAAGATTTTTTATAGGTTAACAATTGAAAAATAACACTGTAAAGGACTTGTACCATGAGGTTGAAAACGTTTTGTTAAAAAATAAAATTCCATGCTGCAGTATATCTTCAATACAAATAAAGTTTTTATTTTTTGTCATTTTATTGATGAACGTGTCTTTTTTTTGTTAAAAATGTGCTGAAGCATGGCAGAGCCTCCATTCCTTTTTTGTCTTAATTTTAAATTAAATTCTCTTAATAATTACACTTAGTATTCTATATTTTTATTCCTTTGCCACTATTCTTCACGTTGGGATGCTCCACCAATAATTAACTTTTATTTTCCCTGTAATTTGTCAAAAACAGGATATAGTATGCTACACACGGTTATGATTTTTTTGGGTGTAAAAGAGGGATTGAAAAGTGGTTTGACCCCTCGTGTCAGACATAAGCCTTCATGTTTGCCTGAAATTACTTTACTTTATTCCAGTCCATAGCTCACTTTTAGCAGAACCAAATGTTAATTGGTTGTTTTGAGTTTTTCACCTCCAAAGACAAATCTTGATATTAAATATGTATATTTCCAGAAATAGCTTCTGGTTTTGTCATTTTAACAATAACATAAATTATTGTAGTTGATTCCACATCTGTAAATTATTGTGTGTATTTTTTAACCTATTTTCTCTTTCTAAAAAGAGTTTCTTTAAATTAGGGGTTGTCCAAGAGACTGGTCTTTTTAAAGGTTAGCTTATTTCACATTTTTTCTTCTGTTTCCGGCTATTGTTTATTTTTCTGCCCATCAGCAGGAAACCCTAGCAGTCTTGCCTACCATCCCATTGTTTTTTTTTGTGTAAGGAAGCTTCCAATTGTCTCTCCTCAAAAAGGCATTACAAGAAGAAAGTGAAAATACAATTGCCTCTGTCCTGGCCAACCGGCAAAGAAGAGTGAAGTGACTAAAAAATAGCCCGAAACAGAAGAAAAATTGTGAAATAAACTAACCTTTACAAAAACCACGTGTCTCTTGGACTACCCTTAATTCAAACAAACTTTTTTTAAGAAGAGAATTTAAAAAAAATGGATGAGATAGTAGGAGAGGGCTTGAACAAAATGGTTAGGGTGAGTCAAAAAGGTTAGAATGAAACTAAAGTCAAGTAATCAAGTCTTTAATGAAGTGAATGTTGAGATCATTGTGGATGGTGAGGTTAGAGGCGTAGTAAAGAGCTTGAAGAATTTTTCTGGGGACTTTTGATTGGATAGCTTTATGGAACCCCACAAGTCACTCAATATGTCCAAATAAGTCAAACTGTTTTGTACAATTCATATATGTTTAGAACCTTACTTCAATTAATTATTTTTTTATGTAAGGTCTTGGTTGAGATGAAAAAGTTAGTGTCATGAGCAGGATTCGAACCCATGACCTTCGGCTCAATACGCTGCTGCTCTAACCACTTGAGCTATCGTGACTTCGATCCACTCGGACACCAACTTCCCATCTCAACCTGTAACCTTTCGAATTTTCCCTCTTTTTGCCATTTTTTAATTTTTTGTTTTGTACAATGTTAGTTTGTTACAGTGTCTGATGTTAGTAGTTTTTCTAGTTGTCCAGTTTAGTTATTTCATAAATGAAGACGGTCTGCTGTCTAGGTATAATCCTAAGTAATTCACTTGTGATGATGTCAGTAATTTTTTGTTTTTTGTCCTCATTCAATTAAATCATACTTTTTTTGCACTAATCTACAATGAACTGAGATGTTTCTGGATATTGGCGTTGGCTAGTATGTGATATATACATAATATCGTCTGTACAGGTGGTGTTGGGAGAGGATTGGAAGATCAGCAGTATAAATAGTGTACTGTTTGGGACCAAGAATGCATCTTTGCTTGTGTTTTAAAAATTTTATGGTGTGTACTATAAGAAAGTTGTCTATATTAATTAAATGTGTTGCAAGTATTTTATTTTTATTTAAAAAATTTCTAAATTGTGGACTAAATTAAAAAAATAAAGGAAAATCGTAATTATTTCCATGAAAATTTTGCATAAAAATTTAATTCTCATTGCATTGAACAGCAGAAACGTGTACAATGATTTCGTTCAGATTTATTTTATTTTTCGAATAATAATGATTCATTAAAATTATCTTTCAAGGTTCAGGGCTTTTTCCACTGGTTGGAATACTAAGACCAGCAACGCTTATCTATCATGCGGGTCCGCCGTTCTCTTTTCAACAAGAACCAAAAAAATAATCGAGCTTTTTCCCTGTTTAAACCAAAACAGAAGGTTTTAAAGTAATGGTGTAAGAAATTAAGATTGTGACGAACCACTAGCTGAAAGGACATATTTAATGATGACAGTAAATAATACATAAGAGGCTGATTTAGTTCTTGCAGAATCAGTCTTCCGTTAAAGGATATACCTTCCAAAATCAAACTCAAGATTCCGTATAATAATTACACCCTAAGTAGCTTGCTTTTGGTTGTAATTATCGTGTTATGGTGATGTCACCACGGTGCCGGTGGCTCGAATATTTTCACACGGCATTCTATCTCCTTAAAAGGCGATGGACCGGGTTTAACTAACAGAGGGAATTACCGGAACGTAAATAAAAGCGCAGCTGGAAAAACACACGGTACAAGTGGGTAAACATATCTGTACAGTTCCCAGATGGTTGAATCCGTTTCGAATTATAGTTGAACAGTTTAGATTAAGCGCCGAGGGCCGGAAACGGAGAGGTACAAAATTTCACCTTGGGATTTTAATTTCGGACCAATAAGTCCTTAAAGGAAGTAAGGACTTAAAAATTAATGCTTTAAATGTGCTATATTAGGGAATAAACTTCAAGACCATGCTGTACTACGTACCCATAATAAAATTTTATTCTCATAAATTTGGAACAATTTTCCTTTATTGTTTATCAAGAATCTTCTAAGGTGGTTGTCTTCATTTGGATTTAATTCAACTTTACGGCTAATTTGGTAAAAAACAAGCAAAACTGTTGAAGATTCCGTTTAGCTCGTTTTTGCAAGCTGCCTAATTTTCGGATAACTTGTTGAGGTTTAGTCTAGCAAATTAATAAACTCAACCTTATGATTCTTCCTTCTTGAAGGTGGGATAATAGGTCATCTCAAAAAACCACAACCAGTTTTTATCCACAACGTTTCGGATTTATTTTAATCCTTCCTCAGGTGAGTTAACGCAATGGTTTAAAAAAGTGGTCGTCAGTCATTAATATTTTAAAATAAATTGTTATAAAATATTAATGACTGACGACCACTTTTTTTAACCATTGCGTTAACTCACCTGAGGAAGGATTAAAATAAATCCGAAACGTGTGAATAAAAACTGGTTGTGGTTTTTTGAGATGACCTATTATCCCACCTTCAAGAAGGAAGAATCATAAGATTAACTGTTGAGGTCAAAATATAAAATAAACTCAACGATATCATCAGGAAGGGACTAGAGTAAGCAAAATAACACACTAAAAATAGTGAAATGCCGAAAGGCACCTAACAGATGATTGCAATTGTCAAGAAGATTTACCACCAAAAGGAGAAACCTCATTCTATATTTTAAAAGCAGAAAAAAATGCACGATTCAGTGTCGGTTA